GGAGATGGAGAGGAGGAGGGGGTGGGGTTTCTTGTATATATTCTAGTTTTTATGGATGGTATTTTGTTTTATTTTGATGATATGCTGCTGAACTAGACTACCTCTTATAACCGCTCCACCGTAGGTCCGTGGATGTGAAAATTCGAGGTATAGTAGACTGTTGTAATCGTAGTGCATTTTTGTGGTTTGGGATACGGTGGTGTCATTATTAACGTGGAAGGGAATGAAGATTCTTCGGTACGAGATAGAAGTTTCTTATATACAGTACATGCGATGTACTGTACCTAATGGATGATAAATTTTGTTAGGTCATTTGGCTAGTGCAGTGGTTTCTACCGGGTAGGATAGGACTTGTATGGATGGATGGATGGAATGGCTGTGGACAGGAGTGTATGATAAAGGAGGAGTATATGCCAGGGCCATACATATAATCTAGGCTAAGTACTCCCCGCAGTAGTTAGCTCCCAGTCATGTGAATACAACTCTTGTCGCAGACTGGCACCCTGGCCTTCTATATCCCTAGCAACAACAAATAAGTCGTGAATATAAATAACAAATGACAGAGAGAGGAATATATAGCTAAAGTCCCAATTTCAAAATATCCTATAGACTTAGGCTTTACTAGCCTACAAGATGAATTGCGTTTTTCTACGGATTCTAGGGTTGTGAATAATCTTGCTACTCGTACTTTTGAGAAGAAGCTATACAAGAAGGACTTCTAGCGAGTAGAAGCCGGTGAACAAGTATCCACCTTACCCTATCGACTCACGCATCCTAGCATCATCGCCTTAGACATGGTTTTCCCCGGTATTTTATGGCGCCATAGGATAAAATCTCTATCCACCGAAGCTCGCTGATGTTTCTTTCTGTTTGTCAAATATCTGCCGCGAACTATTCGAGCACGGGGTGGGAATCAACTAAATGCACCCTTCTCTGATTCGCCGTACAATAATATGGGATCCCCAAATAGTATCCTTTCTATAATGAAATACAAAGGCTGTAATTCCATACCGTAATACAGCCCTTCACTTAATTAGCAGGAATTTTTTATGCAAGTTCAGACGCCTTTGTGCAGTTTTGTGCATCTTCGTAGTTTGTTTTTTGAATTCTACTATTAGATGGCTTAACAGGGCACTTTTCAGCTTTATACTTAAATCATTTAGCCTTAGGGTTAGGGTTAAAAAGCAGAAAAGTAGCGTACCACCCTAGGACTATACGTTAAGCTAAAAGTGCCATCATTTACACAAAATCCTTGTTTCTGCCTACTTCTGCGAAGGGGCTGTACAGTGGTGGTGTTGTGAATTTTATCTGTCATCGCTTTCTCCCAGCCTCTTTTCAGACCCCTGTCCGATGGCGTTTTCAAAGTTCAGCTCAGTATATCGAGGATCTTGCTTCTTCTATTCTATGAAAGAACGAAGATTTGGAGAGTGAAGATTTGAGGAGCATTTTCTGCAATACTACAAAGGAGCCGTAAGTAGTAGGGAAGATCTGACGCGGAACAGTAGCTAAAGAATGGGTAGACAATTCGATACCGAGACAGGCCTTTCTGGAGAACATAAGCAACCATGACGGAGCCCGTTCGAGAATACGCACACAACGATTATACGGTCGGATGGATATGTGCGTTACCAGAACCCGAATTGGTGGTTGCTAGAGCTATGTTGGATGAGGAACATCCAGTATTATCTGCTCCGGATCCAAATGATACGAACTCATACCTGCTGGGGAGAATCGGCCCACACAATGTGGTTATTGCATGTCTTCCAGCTGAAGACACAGGCAAGGTTTCTGCGGCTGTGGTAGCCAAGGATATGCTTCGCACTTTTAAAGCCATTCGATTTGGGTTAATGGTTGGTGTGGGGGGTGGGGCTCCATCTTATCCCCAGCAGCCAACAGAAGCCGACGAGGACGGTTCGGACCAGGATTCCCAAGAAGACAATGGATATATCAGAGATATCAGACTTGAAGATGTTGTGATAAGCTTGCAAACTAAATTATCGGACGCTGTTGTGCAATGGATGATGAACGGTTTGTCAATTGGCGCAAAAAGTTTGTGCCTTCCCTGCTGTGGGTGACCGCCGACCCCGGCTGTGGGAAATCAACCTTGTCTAGATCGCTCGTGGATGAGAACCTGCTCAATTCCCAATCGAACGGCAACACAATTGTGTGCTACTTTTTCTTCAGAGACACATCTGATGTACAGAGGAGTCCCACTGCGGCAATTGCAGCTCTATTGCACCAAGTCTTCAAATCCAAATTTGGAGAGAGCCTGATTAGATATGCACTGCCTAGATTCAAGTCAGATGGCGCTAAGCTTTCGACAAATCTTAGCGCTATGTGGGCGATAATAGAAGACATAGAAAAGGATATAAATAGTCCGCAAATGGTCTTTGTAATCGACGCCCTGGACGAGTGTGAGCGGTCGGAGCAAGGAAGATTTATTGAAAGTGTCGAAAGGCTCGAACAGCAACGGCGCAAATCTTCCAAACCGGTGACTCTCAAGATTCTCATCACAAGTCGTCCGTACTGGAAAATCGAGAAAGGCTTTCAAGATCATTATCGAGGAGCGCCTTGCATTCGAATACCTGGAGAAGATCAATCACATAGTTTCCGTTTAGACATCGATTCCGTTGTTAATGCCCAAGTCTGGGGACTAGGTGCCCAGGTAGCTAGCGAAAAGGCAAGGGAGCAACTTCTTCGAGGGCTTTTAGGATACAAGAATCGCACGTACTTATGGGTACACCTTGTGTTCAAGATTCTTGAAACAGAGCCGCGAATTGCTACAGATACAGTCCATGATATATTGTCAAACTTGCCAGACTCTGTCGAGGAGGCTTATGTCAATATATTGAACAAGAGTAGAAACTCTGAACAGGCTCGGAAACTTCTTTACATTATCGTCGGCGCTAGAGAACCCCTCTTCGTTGAAGATATTGGAGTGGCACTTTATGTCACCTCAAATAGTCGAACATATCAGGATCTTGAGCTCCCGACTGGGCGACAGTTAGAAATCACACTTCGAGATTTGTGCGGGTTATTCATCAGCGTAGTTGAAAACCGAGTATATTTAATCCATCAAACAGCGAAGGAATTTCTTGTTAAACCACCTGGAACCCAACTGGGAGCAGCCACCGATTTCTGGAAGCATTCTTTGTGTATGAAGGAAGCGGATTTGATATTGCTCAAAAGTTGCCTATGGTTGTTATCCTTCGATGTATTCGAAAAAACCCCAGAACAATTTGATTTAACAATAGATGGAACTTTCAATGGCCCCCTTAGATTATATGAGAAGACACCCAAAGCTAATGCGTGGAGGGAGTACCTGAACAATCACCTCTTCTTAGGTTATTCTGGGAAATATTGGACAGTACATTTCAGAGGCATTGAAGCTGTTGATGAGACAATGTTAGACCTTGCATTCTCCATTTGCGATACCAGGTCTACTCGCTCAGTTTTGTGGCCCCTGATCTTTCTAGGAGATGGCCTCATAGGCGGAGAGGATTTTAGCGATGGTTTGATACTCCTCAGAGATGGACCAATACTTGCACTGGCCACCACAGGAATCGAAGAACTTATGGCCCCACTGCTCGCGTTATGAGTCGAAGTTAACGGTTATAACTTCCAAGAACATTCACCCCTGTCTGTTGCGGTGAAGGGACATTGCGGCATTGTGAAAATGCTAGTAAAGAGAGGAGCAAACGTAGACCTCCACTGGGATGGGTGTACACTGCTTCAAATTGCTCGAGAGAAAGGGCAGCATTTTTTCGACGCGTTACTCCGAAACGTTTAGTAGCACTAGAAAGCGCGTTCTAGAGAACGCGTTTGTAAACCTGCGATAGAAAGCTTGTAAAGTATACAAGACTAATCAGAAACCTAGTAGAAATATAGTATTAAAATCAAGCAGAAAGTTCTATATATCTACGCTTTCAATGTAGAGTAATTTTATAAGCCTTAGTATATAGGTTAAACTATAAATAAAAGTTAAATTTACGTTTAAAAAGATTTTTCTCTACTAGAGTATACTTATATAAAATAGTAGGTCTAGTATATTCCCTAGTTAAAACGTTTATATACTTATTAGAGTAAGTAATCAGAGCTCTTTACCTCTTTTCTAGTATACTAGTAAAGAAGCTTATTAGCTTTCTTATTTAGTATAGTTTATATATTAGTACTAGCTCTTAAGATTTAGGTTATCTAGAGAGATAGGATTATAGACTTTTAAGCGAGAAAAACGTGTATATATTAGTCCCTTTATATAAAAGGTAAATAACCCGCTTATAGCTCGGCTCTTTATCCCTTATATAAGTTGTATATATAGGAACACCAAAAGTACGATCTTACTCGTAAGGCTATATTAAGCGTAAAACGCTTCTAAAACTTATATAATTCGTAGATAGGTAATTTAGGCTAATACGCTATAATTCTATGTTCTTAGAATATACGTACGATTATTAGTCTAATAGTTATATAATTTAGAAGTTATTACTCTCTTTTTACTACCTTTAAAGTACGGCCTTACCTTTTATTAGGCACCTAGGCACCTACGTAGCTACGTAGGAATACTAAAACTATAGGAACTACTCTTATACCCGTATCTAGCTAGAAACGTAATTAAAAGACATATAAATCAGATATAAAAATCCTAAGTATTTAGGCTATAATTCTAGTGTTCTCGCGATACTATTACGATATCTATAGCTAGTAGGGTATAGGCTATAACGTAAGCTAAGAGTATCCGAGCTTCGTATAAGGCGTAGAGCTACGCCCTAGCTATACCGAGAGCCGTACCTAAAACCACTACTCTCGTACCTATATCGAGCTAGAATCGTATTTAAAATATATATAAATCGAGTATAAATATCCTAAGTATTTAAGCTATATTCCGGTGTTCTCGCGATACTATTATGATATCTATAGCTAGCAGGGTACGGGCTAGTATATATAACGTATAACGTAAGCTAAGAGTATCCGAGCTCTATATAAGGCGTATAGCTACGACCTAGCTACACATAGAGCCGTACCTAAAACCACTACTACTCTCGCGCTCGTATCTAGCTAGAATCGTATCTAAAACATATATAAATAGAGTATAAATATCCTTAGTATCTAAGCTATATTCCTATGTTCTTGCATACTATTACGATGTTTATAGCTAGTAGGGTGTAGGCTAGAAGCTAGACGAGTGCGACCGTGGATTTTAGTAGGGTACTTAGGGGTATATGTTACTTCGAGCCTTACTACGTAACTAGCCGCCTATACGTCTTTTCCTTATTGTGACGACACGTACGAGATGTTGCTCAGAGAGCGTCCAAGGTGTAGGTTATGGAATCGTAGAACTGTCTATTCGAAGATTCTAAGCTAAAGAGAGAAGAGAAGAAAGGACAGAAGTCCAGGAGCTGGAAGCTCTTATATACAGGAGGGGTACCAAGGGTTATAGCTAACCGAGCCGGGCTCGGGAAGCACGGCGGCCGACGGGTGCCAGCCAGGGGCTGGTTTGAGGCATGGTGGCGGTGAGAACCGTCACACTTATCTATTTAACTCTTAATTAAATAACTTATTATTATTAAAGTATAAACCTTAGCTATAATATCTAATTAGGAGCCGGCGAGTTCGCACGACCTAGCGTAGCTAGCGAGGCGAGCTCGTAACCTAATAACTTAATAATAACTTGATAAATAAATAATAAAGAAATATTAATTAATTAATTAAATTAGATTAACTTATAAAGAGACTAATAGACGTAATAAGAGGGCGAGGGCGAGCCTGCGAGCCCGTCTAGCCTCGTTATTTATAATTATAAGGTTAGTAGTCTATAGTTATCTTAAGTAAAGTATAAGATTAAATTTACTCTCTTAGCCCCTATTAGCGCGTTATATATATTAGGTAAGGTATACTTAGCGGGGACCCCTATAAACGAGGCGATCTTAAGGTAGACTAAGTCTTAGTACTATATGCTTAGGGACCTAGTCTCTATTAGTTAACTTATATTCCTACTCCCCTCTAAATAGATAAGAGAGAACTTAGAGAGACTATAATTCAGTAGTATATTAGGACTGAACTATTTAATCTTGGTTTATAACTAACTATCCTACTATCTAGCTCGTTACACGCTATAATGGACCAGTCGCTCGCTATATGAATTCCTTAATTAATTTAATGGTAATAACTATATAGAGTATAGCTTGATTTTTATGCAAAGGCAAGGTTCCTTTCTACCAAATATTGACTCTTTTTTCAGCAGACTTGAGAGAAGTTACGAAAGCTCTCTTTGCTATCCAGTGATATTGTACAAAGTCTTGAAGTAGGGGAGACAGATGAACAGCATAGACAACCTAGTAGAAACTCTCTTGAGAAGATCCAACCGTGAGGACGAGCCCGAGGTATGTCTGCAGACGATATTTTCGCCCCTGTCATTTAAGCTGATACTGGTATGGTGTCAATGCTCCTTGACTCTCATCACAGTTTGCTCGCTATCAGCTTCAGGTCGATCAACATCCATGTCATCGCCTCCAGACTGAGCCCTGACTTCAGCATCCTCTTCCCCATCAACATCCATCGTATCTCCTTTAGCGTCCATTTTCTTAGCGCCATTCTTCAACTTGCATACATCTTCCTCAGTCTAGATCCACCAAATCAGTTTCACGCCTCAGTCAAAAGGTATAGATAGAGCCAAACGTACAAAACCCACGACATCCAAATCTTGTTTACCAAACTTCAGACCTGCAGCCTCCCAGTACGAGTCCATACGACGCTCGATAAGCTGTAAAGTCAATACAAGAACCGCACTTCCCTCAAGAAAACGCAAAGACATCAAAATCGTACCTCACCAATCTTCTCACAAAACACCTCCTTCTTCACCTTCTCCACAACCGCCTTATCGCCCACCTTACACTTGTAATTAAACCGCTTCATCTCCTCATATCCACAAGCCTCAAAATGTCTCAAACAAATCGTCACCCAGAAAGCCTCCAACTCCTTCCTACCAAGACGCTTCTGCATCCCCCTGCGGCTAAAGTTGATGTTCGTGCAGAACTCTTCGAAAGTAACATACGAGAACTCTCTGCAGGATTTCACGAGTTTCGGGGCGACGTGGGAGAAGTGCGGATGGGTCGTGAGAAAAGTCCAGTACTCATAGGAGATGGAAAGGTGTCCGAAGTGTTGCTCGAAGGCTGGGGAGTAGGTTGGAGAATCATCTTGGCTGGTGGCTGGTGGGTAGGCTTGAAGGATTTGGTGTGTGGTTGCGTTTTGGGACATCTTAACGCCGTCGGTGGACTTGTGAAGGACTGTGAAATATTCGTGAGCTTGAATTGGAGATATGGTCGTTGCAATGGTGGGTCCTCACATCTTTGCGCAGCAACACGCCCTTATCATATGCTCCTTGGGAAAGCAAAGCAGAACTCTGTTTGTTATTTGGAGAAGTGATTTGCTGGGTTCCCTTTGTATAAATGGTGATGGCGCTAATTTAGCGCCGACGCGTGACGGATTGAATTTTGATAGTGAATGTCTGTCGGGCGATATTTAAAATTTGTAAACAACAACACGCCCACAACAACGCAAGAACAACGAAGCGTTAAAAAAAGGGTCTCATCTGTAACTTTCACTAAATCAGAGTTATTCCAAAGTCAAATTGCGTTATATAGCTAGCTACTTGAACTGAAATCTCGTGAGATTTTAGATATGTCACAAAATTGGCGAGATACCGACGCGTCGTGACACTTCCCCATAAATCCACCCCCCGCCACCTCTTCAACCACCATCTGAAGTCCAATCATCTGATTACCTCTTCTGTATCGCCCACATCTAGAAGTAACCAAAATAATCAAGACTTTGCAAGAAAATGCCCATTGAGGTTCGTCCTCGACCCCCTAACAAACTCTGGGTTCCGAGGGAGTTGACTTATCCCACAAACAAGTTGCGTGGCTCAATTCGTTGAGCCAACGCACTCTTTGAATTAAGGGAATCTTTTGCTGGTAGAAATTGTGATGTAAGGTGTTGTGACGATATCGGGGGTTGAGGGGATGTGGTTACTTCGCTTAGGAAGATAGGGAGAGTGAGATACGAATCGAGTGAAGGTACTTTTATGGCATGTTACTAGTTTACTAGTGATACAGAAGCTTTTGTATTCAATTTTCTATAAGTTCCCATATCATTTATGGTATATAAATGTAGGCAGTGCCCAACTGCCAGATCAGGAAGAAAGGGAAATGTGGTATTGGGTCAGGTGATCTAGAGCTATTTTAGAATCTAGCCATACAATTCTTATTTGGCCAGATCATCATATTACGTGATAATTCAAAAGAACTTCTGCCTAGCATATCTGTTGCAAATGCCCAGTGCCTTATCCCCGACAACACCTGTAGATATAATCACGTGATTCACCCCGATCAAGCGAAATGTGACTGTCCAACGTTTGAAGGACAAGTCTGGGGAAACTAATAGGAGAATTGAGAGACGAATTTTGTTGTAAACTAATCTATCCCTTTGTTCTCTCTCAAGTAGGCTTATTAGATTACTTATAAGGCGAGAAAGCGAAATATACCATCTTTATAAAATAACCGAGATGACTTATTCCACTTTGAGGGCATTCCCAGAGAAAGTTGAGTAGGCTCTACCCGAGTAGGCAGAACAATCTACTCGTAGTCGTGCTCAACACATTGCCAAATTACGTCAATCGAAAGTTTTGCGGCGTTTTCGGAGGTTTCAAAGTATCTAGGAGCACACATTATCCGAGTACCGGTAGATATCTACCAGTAGGAATCCGGTTTTAAGTTCTTCGAAGTCAATTCATGTACTTACTGTAACAGGTCTGCGTCATAGGATTCGACATCGAGCATCGTACTGTAATGAGCGTGGTCTTTCATATGGACTATGCATTGAAGGCTGAGATCTGTTGATGAGATATACTCGGTGTAGCTCTTCAGGGTTGTTCTACATTGTAAGATTTACACAGCTGAACCTAGGTTTGTGGCTTCGCTTCACTCATCCTCAAAATATAACAAGTCTCAGAAAGCACTTTGGTATCTCAGAATTGATTACAAATCATTGTCTGAGGGCCAGAGGTCTGCGGTACTATAACTCGCACCTTCTCTCCTACCGGAGTTGGGCAACTAGGAATACTGTAAAAACAGCTTCTACTCGTAAATAAAGTTTAAACCTTTTGGGTGCTTGAACAGAGGAAAGCTTAATGTTTTTCAAAGAAGGAACAGCCTACCTTTAAGAAAGTATGACTTCAACCGTGACGACAGATCTTGCTAAGCCTCAAATACCTTGTATTATGGTAAAAGTCTGATAGGCTGTAAAGGTGGTATACCATCTCAAATATGATCTTCTCTCTTCCATGCTGTCCGGGTTCAAGTAGTCAAATTTCCAAATGACGAGTGAATGCGTCATTCCCCAGACCTATATATCCTTGAACAGGCCATAATCATATCCCCAAAGTGAATATTAAAGATCAATACTCATATGACAGTCCTCTACTCCTTAAGCTGCATTCTGCACCTTAAACATTGCTTCTTTTCCCTTCTTGCAAACCTCAAATAAAAGCATCTTTTCGCAAAGGCCTTCCTCACCACCATGGTTTTCTTCAAGCTTCTTCTCCTTCTCAGCTCTGTTGTATGTGTCATGGCAGCAGCTATCGAAAGAGCTGCACCACCACCAATGGAAGCTGGATGCGGAGAGTTAAACATTATCGCAACGTGAGTTTCTTGTAAATTATTGCAGTTGAAAAGAGCTAACTTTTGATACAGAGGACTTCCCCCTTTCCATCCAATAGTCACTCAACTGAGCTTTGATCCAAAGGTGGTTGAGGCAGCTATCCGAGCTGATGCCGCAAACATCACAAAGTTGGGATACAATCTCAAAGGTAAAAGAATATATCTCAACAAAAGAACCCTCAAATGCTGACCCAGAACTTTCAAGTCGTTCTTATGGGACCGGAACAGGACTTGGACGTTCTTAGAACTAAGATAGGTGGTACACAATGGCAAGCAACAGGCGTTGGCTTCGGAATGAGAGGAGCACCTCGCGAGGACACCACTATTCGATTCACCGGTGGGCTATGCAAAAATTGTGCCCCATGTAAATTATTGGGGATTTGGCTAATATTCATTGTAGATCTCGTCAATCTCTATCGTAGCGAGGTACCGAATGCTCCGATTTTGTTTGATTACTCGCCTACGACAATGTCTTGGGCTCTCCAAAGAGCTTTTAGACTTCCCGCTGATTGTCAACCAGGCAAGGATCTTGTAAGTGTTTGTTCAATTATCGCAGGAAATCGAAAGGCTGACTGTAGCAATAGGGCATTGAGGTCATCTGTGATATTTGTACTGGTGGTTAATTCAAAGAATAGCTGGCGTGTGTAGGCGTTGAGTGATAGGGTGTAATGGTGAATTACGTGGTAATTAAGCTACATAAAAGAGAGACACTTGGATTGTAGGTCACCAGGTGTCAGTTTCAAACCTGCCCTACGGTTGCATCAGTGAATACATAACACAATTACGCATTTGAGTATCTAATAGTCAAACCTTGAACACGTTACTTTATTTGGTAAATTGGCTTGCTCACCTAACCACTCTAGTGTATTTGGAATCCGTTCACCTGTAGCTTGTGAGACTTTCGGTCACTATATATATATTTCATGTATATTGGAAATGGTTTATGATTACCGACGTAATTGAGGATGGTAGTGTACTGCTTGGCAAGACATGGAGGAATTATATTAACCCTTTCGATCTTCTATATTCTTTTCGAGGATAATAGCAATTCTCCTGCACCTTCTGGTGAACCTGCAGTTTTACCTGAAGTTTTACCTGAAGTTTTACCTGAAGTTTTACCTGAAGCTTTACCTGAAGTTTTACAGGTAGCCCTCCCAGTGCGGCGAGAAAATATTTTATTCTCTCGATGGATTCGATCCACCGAGGAAGGGTAGTACAAATATTCAGTCTCACCCTCATATTCTAGCGGTATTGAACCGGTCGCAACAATACTTCAAAGGCTCCACAACTTTCACAAATAGCTCCTCCCGACGTTTCTCCAATTTGTTATCCGATTCTCCACTCCCCGGCATATTATGAAGACACCATAAGATAGCATCCGCAAACTCTGGTCCAGCTTCTTCAACGGCACGATGGGACCATTCTAATGCCGCGGCCTTATCCGAGAACATATTAGGCGTTGAGCTAGAAGGATACTTCTTCCGCAGTTGGTGATCTTCCAACGCGGTACCAAAACATAATTCGAGTAACATAATACCAAGATTTGAGAGGCTGTGGTCTTGGGGATGGTCGGTATCCAGGAGATTGGGCATAAAGTTGCGTGTTACGTATGGTTTGTCGAGATATATTTCATCTGGATTTGAGCTTCTTCGGATGAAGAAGATGTCACTTTTTCTCCATTGAGAACTTATCCATGATGTGGAGGAAAGTTGGAGATGCGAAGACGCCAGTGTTAGAGCAATATTATATCTTTGGCGCCTTGTCAAACTTATCTTGGACTCTTTCCTTAGGATCTCCTCGAGTGAGATGGTATCACCAATATCAGTTGCGCCGAGGGGCTGGAGAGCAAAACTTCCCTCTTCCCCTTTCAAGCGGCAACATTGTTTTGAGTCTGTCCGATATGTTGCTATGGTGTCGCAGAGATTGTTGATCTCTATCATATCAATTGCGACTGAAAGCGATGATGGTTTTGAGTCTTCAAAAGAGGCCGGTGTCATAATGATGTTTGGTACAGGGGAGATTGGCGGTATGGGCTTGAGCTGCGGATGGAGGGCTTTGCTGCTACATGTCAGTTGGGTATTACAAAAATATGAATACTACGGACCTCAGATCGCTGGAAGTGACAGTCTTTTCCTTCTTGAACTTTCCCATTATGGACTTTCTAAAGGATGACTTCTTCGGAAGGAGAGATTTGGAAGCAGGAGGTAACGCCTTGGATGGGCGAGACTCATCGGAGCTGGTCGGAGTGGTAAAGCTCACAATAGACCTCTTTGGCTCCCATTCGTCCTCGAGTAGTTTTATGTTCGTTCCTGGCATGTCCACGACCAGGGTTCGGGTGTGAGGTTTTGTTGAGCGTAGACAAACAGAACTCTGAAGTCTGCAGTTGATGTTGTCCGATGTTGTAGCAAAAGATTGGCTTGGTGGAGAAATTTGCAATCGCATGCCCAAGATTTTGTCAAAAGGTTATAAAGTCTGTCTGCGTGACGCCAAAATTGCCACAGTCCTTTACTGACAGCGGATTTCTTTCCAACATCACGACTTCGTCTTAATGCAGCGATCCTATCACTTGTATCCGAAAGAGTGCGTAATTCATTATTATAATCCGTCAGATCTTCAAATAATTTATCTCTTTTCGATTGATTGAAGCTCATTTTTATCCGCTGTGTTTGGAATTCGAGGTTCGCTTTGCCCACGATGGCATCAATCATGGTTTTGTTTGGTCCATGAGGAACACTAGTCTGCTAGCACAACCAACGAAGTTAGAACAAAAGCTAAACGATGATGCAAAAGCACAGTGGGCTAGTTTTGAGAAGTTCAGATTGAGAAACCCAAAAAAAGAAGGCAAACAAACATCTTCTTCGGCAACCTTGCTCTGGAAGCCAGTTTTATCCATACCGAGCTCGTGCTTCAGATCTGCCATCACGTCCTGTATGCGGTCGATGCTCTCAAGATATAAGTCGTAGGACTTTGGCAGCCTCTGTCTCAAGCGCTTCTCCAATTCAGGGTTCTTCCATGCTTGGCCATCAGGCTCAGCGATGAGCTGTTGCAATTCATCCTCATCTGCAATCAATGGCAAGAGTAGCTCCTCAAGATTTCGCTCAAAGGCCAATTTGCCGATGTTGAGACCGTGAGTCCATGTTTTGTACTCTCGCCGGATTTTCCAAAAGATTCCCAAGGTCTCGGCCGTGTCCCGGTAATGCTCCAGAGCGCTTATGGTAAGTGGAAATGCAGCCAGAATGATACCAGCTACCTCGACGCCGCTCATGGCCGTTGTTGTTTGCTTTTGAAAAAAGCCGCGAAGAGATCTAGTATACAAGCTCTGCGGTCTTTATTGAAGCTTTGTTTTGGGACTCTCGTCCGAAGCACTCCAAATACCCCACCGTATCGTTCATGACCCGCTAATTTGGGGGCGGTTTGGGGGCCACTGTATCACTTCTGCAGCCGCAACTAGGCCGGATCTGTATTAGTTCTGCAAAGCCCAGAAATTGCAATCATTTCTGCAATGCCTTCTACACTACCTCCCTAATTACTCCACTGATTTGTTTACCCCGATATCTCATCTGCCGTAGCTTCGCAAAGCAAAGTTTGCGTTCGGCATTTCGACGAGCTCTGTATACTTTTCGAGGACGAAGAACGCCAATTTTCATACGATATAACTTATTCGCAAGTTTGTAATAGTTATGCGCAATTCAAGATTTGGGCTGGCAATATAGGAGCGCTGCAGACAATTCAATTCGCTAGCTCCCTGGACTACCGATTGCGCGAGGTCGCCAAAGTTTCAGGTCAAGTCATTTCAGTCTTGGAGGATTTAGAAGAAGTATTACAGGATGGTATGAAACCGGTCTATTATTAAATAAATCCTTCTCTCTTGTTGGACTCGCTACTTAATTGTTCCATTGTTGATTACTTTCAGTTATTGCAATTGCTTCAGGGAAGAGGGAAAATAGAATTGGTTCTCCCGTACCACTAGATCATGAATTACTTGATGAAGATTACGGATCGACTTCTCAACCAACTTCGGAGATCCAGGAACTTTCCAGTCCATATCCGAAACTATCGCGAGCCTTTTCAAACTGTCAATTCTCATCAGAAATAGCAGTTCCCGGGACCGTTATGCCAAAGCGTTGGCAGCAGCATCTAAAGCACCATTTGATGGTCAGTTTGATATTGATCATGTGGGAAACAAATTCCCCCGTCTTTGTGGTAGTGATAGAGAATGGCTAAGGAAACGTCTCGGAAAGGCCATTACGCAGAAACGACAGTACCTGTATTACTGTCGGGAGCATCGCGAAAAGCTCCCCAGAGCACCTGGCTTTCGAAATGTCATTGAAATCACGCCAGAACCAATGATCGGATCTACTTCTCTGGCTGTTCAGGAGCAAAATACAACTACTCATGATGACGCCCAGACCGTGATATCGAGGCCGACAAGTACACTGGCTCCGACTACAGCTAGCACAGTAATTGCTACAAAGTTGGAAAGTGCAATGAGACTCGGTGACGTGGAAGAAGAAGCTGAGGACGACAATCGATCACAAACATCTTATGCAAGTTCTGTTGGCGAAGATGAAAGCGATAACAGACTGTCCATTATTCGTCTTGAAGAAGTTGCTGGAACTTTCGAATCTTTTGAGTGCCCATATTGTTGGACAATTCAAAAGATCAATAATCAACGCTCATGGAGGTAGTGGATCATTTCAATTCCTGTGGCCAATAATGACTTCTTTAGGAAACACGTCATGCGAGACCTCAAACCATATGTCTGTACCTCAGAGGACTGTGACATGAAGCTATTTCCTGACCGTCATACTTGGTTCACTCATGAACTTCAAAATCATTGGGTAGAGTGGAAATGTTGTTTTTGCAGTCATGGTTCCTATGCAAGCAGAGATAAATTTGAAAAGCATGCTCTGACATCTCACGAAGATGAATTCACAGAGGCCCAGTTACCGGCTTTGGTTAAAGTTTGCCAAAAACCAGTGGAAAAGATCTCACTAGATGCTTGTTCATTTTGCGATGAATGGGAGAGCAAATTAAGGGAGTTGAACGAACATATGTCTCTTGTAAATTAGCGTCTCTTCTTTTACACCCCCTGTAGCCTAGGGCACCCCCCTAGCGTCATTTGCCCATATTGGGACTCTTCTAGGACCTAGCCCACGCGAGCTAGACTCCGCTTGACGTTAAATAGCAATAAATAAATAAATAAACTGCTAATATAAGCATAGCTTATCCAGATCCTTTTGTTCAACTAAGCATTGACATAAAAGACGTAAAAAAAATCTACACTACAGGTGTAATCAAAAAGACTTTGAGTCCTTACTGGAACAAAGATTTCGACGTGTAAATCCCCACACCAAGTGTAAAGTCCAAACTCTCACTAACCATGTCCTAGCAACGTAACAGAGGATAGTGTCCTGATTTTCGAAGTGTTTGACCAGAAGAAATCCAAAAAGAAAGACCAGGGGCATCTCGGTCGTGTGGATATACGAGTGGGCGATGTGATAGATTTTTCGGAGCCTCAAATTGGTCAGACACCTATCACAATCGAATGATAACCAAGTTATTGCGCTGACATATTCAGATGAAATGATAACCCCCAATCTAAAGTTAACAGAAAACAATATCAGGCCTCCTCACGGAAAACTTATTTTGAACCTGAGTAACAACTTCACACGGACTGCAAGACCAACCAGAACGGAATTTCCCGAAAATGCGCCAACGCCCAGCTCTGCGAGTGACAATACCAAGTACGGCGCTTTTGAAGATCCCTCGGGACAACCACTGCCAGCGGGGTGGGAGCGAAGAGAAGATCAACTTGGAAGATCATATTATCTTGATCACAACTCGAGATCTACTACATGGAAAACCCCCTTGAGCGTCGAAGATAACAAACCTTAGCCATTTCTTGCCTACGAACGCGACCGGAGGTTGCAATATATCTCAGCGGGACAAAGAACTAGCATATTGCCAGTTACTGAGGACTGAGTTACATGCGACTTGAACGGCGATGTTTTCACTCAGCGACAGATGAGATGTAGTAGGTGTTCTGGAAATGACCATAAGTCCAGAATAAACAGCAGGTTGGTCCGCGAGGAAGATGCACCTCCGTCACTTCAACTACACCCTCAGGAGCGACACCAAGGTCCATGAACATCTCCTGTTGGTTTTGTTTCAGGCCCGTCAAGCTTATTGCCGGTTCAAATATCATAATTCGAATTCCACGGAAGCTGGCGTAGTTAGTCTTTTCAGAAGCTCGGAAAACTACAGGGAAACCTCGTTTAAACAGCCGACAGAATTAATTCAAGAGCAACAAATGCAACTTGGAAAGTGGCAAAGAGGTTGGAGTTTTTTACCTATAGAGACTTTCAATTATGGTATGCGGACAAAACAGCCTGGAGTTTTAATTATAAATTTTTCTGCTCCGGGTGCAATACAAACCATAAACATTCGTAATGCCAGACCCTGAGCTTTATTTCAAACCACCTCCACGAAGACCGAAGTACATGCAACAGATATATATGCGAGCTACAGCCTCATTTGTTCGAGCCGTCAGGATTTCTTTGTCCGGCGTAAGGAACAACATGCCTTTTCTGCTAACCTGTCGTCCTCTATCGAATGCAAATCCTGGATTGAAACATAAAGTTTTCATATTTGGACGGGCTCAAAAGTCTCCGACATAAAAGATCACAAGCGTATTATTTAGTGCCCTAATTTCTGTTGGTGTTAATGCAAGAGTATCGGTTGAGGAAATAGAGAAAGAAGAAGAGGCAGTTTCCACGACCGTCGCTTCATTCCCCCCTTGGGGCGACTCCAATGACAAAGAGTTACCAATGGATTTCACAATCAAGGTCGATACTGTGGTTCAGTCATAAGCATCTTCTTCGACGATACCACACCTCAAGACCCAAGCTACCCTCCAGCAGATCTCCCTATAGCTGGTATCACCAAATATGTGATTGTGGATATACAAAGATTCGTCATGGGAAATCCTTGTTGTTAATCAAGACGAAGATGGATGGACAAGAAAAACTCGTTGAAAGATTGAATGAGTATGAGGATGGACCAAGAGATGAAGCACTTTTCAGAAATGAAGGTAAGTCTGGCTGGTTAGGCTCGAGGATATAATATTGGTTTGCTTGGATGTAATCCAGAAAGAATGATTGCCCCAAACGTCTCTCGCAATCTGCAGATATTGGGTATACACAGACGAGTTATGGACAGGAAGAGATTTTCAAGGGGTTCATGGGCCTGTTAGGTTTTATGGCTGATCAGATGATGTCACGGTAATAAGAGAGGTGAATACTGGACAAGTTCTGGCACTAGTACAAATAAGCCACCCCCTCTTCTAGACATTGTTTAATTTTTTAGAAGCACGCCACAACGGCTGCTATTAGTAGGTTTCTTCGGTTCGTCGGTTTATTCCGTCTTAGTATTTCTTATCTCCCCTCCCAGCATTTCATGTTTTCAAGTGCCGTTGGCCCATTCAGGCGCGCTGATTCGCAGGTCAATTAATTACCTTGCATAGGCTAAACGGACCAACACACTGCAATTTTTTGACATGATATTTCCACAGAAATCTTTTTTGTAACCATCATAGAAGTATATGTTGACGGGGTTGAAGTTTCCTAGGTTCTGCACCTCGTTTCTGTGTTAGGCCACCCGAACCCTTTTGTAGAATGCAATTCTGGTATTAATCTTCAGCCTCACTTTAGCCTCTGATATGACAGTAAACGTGGTGCGATATACAGTTCAGCCGATGGTGGTGAGATTGAGAAAATGTTAAATCGGAAATGACTATTTCTATCTGATCCTTTTTTGTCTGAATCGCCTGCTGCACGTCAACCCATTACCATATTCTTCTCACTTCAAAGCGTTGTAAAAATGTTATCTCGGTTGGTATTTGGAGGGCTGGTTGCTTTGGTAGCCGCTGCCAATGAGAGTTATGAGTATATTGTGGTAGGCTCTGGGCCGGGCGGTGGACCTGTTGCGGCCAATCTAGCAAGAGCCGGTCATTCTGTCCTGCTACTTGAGGCTGGGGACGATCAAACGCAAAATGTCAATGTTTCTCAGTTGATGAATTTCAACATTGCCGCCAATGACGAGAAGACTAGATGGGATTTCTTTGTGAACCATACGGACAACGACTTGGGATACAATCATATGGTCTATCGAAAACCAGACGGCGGTTTCTATACTGGACTCCAACCACCAAAAGGCGCAACGAGACTGGGCATCTGGTATCCTCGGACTGGAACACTTGGTGGTTGCGCAATGCACAATGGTGCTGTTGTCAGTCTTCCAGGAGACGCAGACTGGAATTATATCTCGGAAATCACTGGTGACAAAGGGTGGCTCACACAAAACATGCGACCACATTTCAAGGCAATGGAACGCAACGCTGATATTTCTTCTGCGGATACCTCTCATGGATTCAACGGTTGGCTGGATATCTCACTCGGAGATACAACATGGGCAGATACGGATGCCGATGCAGTATCACCCGCCAAAAAAGCTGCAAATATGACCGGTGGTGACCCAAACCAACTCAAAGCGCTCATGGGTAGAGATATCGACGCAAAAGACCCTAATCGAGATCAAACTTTGGGGGTATTTGGGAGTTGGTCTCACGCAACAAAACAAGGCCAACGCTCCAGTCCTGGATACTACGTCAAAGAAACTGTAAACGATCCCGCAAAATATCCTCTGACTTTACAATTAAATTCTCTCGTTTCAAAAGTCATATTCGACAAAACTGGGAAAACACCCAGGGCTGTCGGTGTGGAATACCTGCGGGGGGAATTCTTATACGGAGGCGACCCCCGCAATGTAGACGGCAAGAGAAAAGGGAAACCTGGCAAAGCATTTGCATCAAAAGAAGTCATCATTGCCGGGGGCGCGTTCAACAGTCCTCAAATCCTCATGCTGAGTGGCATCGGCCCTGCGGAGGAACTAAAGAAATTCAACATCCCAGTTATAGTCGACTCATCTGGTGTTGGTCGAAATCTCGACGACAACTACGAAGGTTCTGTTGCCTCATTAGCAGCTCGAGACTTCCAAGGAGCCTCCAATATATTCTTCAACTTTCTGAAGACCTCTCAATCCACCGGTAGTCGGGACATTCAGATGTGGTGCGGGCAATTTTCATTCGAAGGGTTCTGGCCTGGTTTCCCTGATGACTTTGGGCCCAAGCAATACGAATGCACATTCGTTCACATGAATCCTCGAAGTCAAAAGGGGTTCGTCAAACTTCGCTCGGCTAACCCTCAAGATACCCCTGAGATCAACTTCAAGTTCTGGGAGAAGAACAGCGACAAAGACCTCCAGGCCATGCTTGAAGCTATCAAATTTGGCAGGAAGATTGTCCAGGATGCGAAGACTGGCTTGGGGCCATTTACTGAGATTCATCCCTGCACCAGTGATAACTGCTCTGATGAGGAGACCCTTGCATTCTTAAAGAAACAAGTTTACAGTCACCACGCTACCAGTACTTGCGCGATTGGTGGGGACAATGATAAGATGTCGGTTCTTGACTCGAAATTTCGTGTTCGTGGTGTCAAGGGATTGAGGGTTGTTGATGCGTAAGTAATGCACTGATGATATCCCTCTGTGCTTTGCTTCTGTATTGTGGTTGCCTGGGGAAAATGATCTCTTCTTAGCCTTCCACAATGCAGGAAAAATATAATACTGATTGATTCTCAGATCTGCGTTCCCCAAGGTCCCCGGCGCTTTCCCGGTTATTCCAACTATTGTTTTAAGCGAGAAAGCTACCGACGACATTCTTTCCGAATTAAAGGAGAAATGAGACTGATTGAGAAGATTTTGCTTACACTTATTCTGGCAGGATATGAAAGACAATTCCTAGAGGATTGACGAAGATAGGTAGAATGACAAAATCGGGCAGAGTTTGTCGATCTTAATGCTATACTTAAATCTAAAGAACTTCTTTCCCCGCGGGTTCTCCTTTGCTTTCATAAATTTCTCTCACTTAGTAACCTTCGTTTATACAAGAGAGATTGTGCTTCCCGAAAGCTATTCAACTGGACTCAAGCTGGCCCTTTTTTAATTAGAGTGTGTATTTTGGAGACATTAATTGTTGTCTGGTTCTCTTTTACGCCAAGGAATATTTCTTCAAGAATCAGACAGTACAGTACAACTTCAGGCTCGTAAGTTTTTCAATGAATAGGATATATTTATGCATGCAAATGGACGAACAGAAGCGCAATTAACGATTCGATCCCTTAAGCCATAAGAAAGGTAACACAAGTCATTGAGGAAGCTTACAAATCTCCTACAACACGAAGACGAGGTCATGGAGTTTGCAGTAAACCGGTTTCGCGCGACCACATTTGATAGATTACATGGGGTGCTTCGATCTTCCCAGTCTAGTAACAAGAAGCACTTCCAGGACTGCCCAATTCCTTTCATAGCGCTACAGGAAAATAAACCTTACGAGTAGTATTCAATAGTAGCCGATTTCCCTCTTTAGTCCTGCAGACATAGCCGTTTCGAATTTGCCACCTTCCCGTGGGCGCGATGCCTTTTGTCTTCATCCGAGCCACTGAATCGTGTTCAAAGTTCGTCAGACAGAGCAAGGAACTTTCAAATCAAGACTCTCCGAAATCCCTCCTCATGGTCAAAATGTTGATCCGTTGTTAAAAAGCATTTTCCCGTGTTTATGTTCACAAAAAAGACCTATTTACCTCCATTTAGCATATTCAAAAAGCTGGAATGGTTCTTTGACGTAACCTACCTTGTATGCTTCAGGTATATCATATCTATATTGAGTAACAACCGGTATGTGAAGCAAGAAAGTGACTCGTCTGGACATATCGCTCAAGCCCCAGGTATCAAAAAAAGTTCTGGGAAGAAATACTGGTACCACTGAACAACTCTTGAAATCTCTCAACAAATGTATCCGCACTACATTCGTCAAATTTAGCAGGCTTGAGATCAAACATGCACCCCTTCAAATAGATTTGGCAGGTTTTGAGTTTTGGAAGGTCGTCGAATAACGGTAATATGGCATTCACGCCATCACCGAGTACAAAGGACCGGAAATGCTGGATGTGCAATTTGGCAAACTCAGACAGGTTCTCGCAGACGAGTTTGACACCCTCGCACTGAGAAGCATCGGTGTATATAACAACCTCCTCGTAAAATATGGTTCTCCCTCCATTATATGTCTGATGGCACGCTAGAAGTAGCTGACAAATTTGTAGAGGGAAAAGGGCGAATGAAGCAGATTAACCTTTCTGGAAGTCTTTGCAGCAATAATCTCCAGTGCTCTTGAACGATGCGAACTCGAGCCTTGAACCCGAAAAGACGAGGCGATATATTTACGACGAATCTCAATGGGAAATTTTGTGAAGAAGAGGCATTCGGTGTTGGTTGCTGCTTCTGCGAGGGGGTGTTCTGCGGACATGATGGATTGATGGGTTAGTTTGAGACGTACCAAGGGTCGATCATCGAAATGGAGAGTTGAAAGGTTCTTTTCCGTGGTTGCAACTTCCTTCCACCAAGCCGCACGACTGCAGAAAATGCTTCAATTCATCTGGCCATTGCCAAAAGGTGCATTTTTCAAGGTCAGACATTAAAAGATTCTTTGCTGAGTTGTGAGACAAAGGTGGGTTGAAACCTAATAGCAGTTTGAGTTTGTTGTTCCCTCGATAACTTTCTAATATGATTTCAGAGGATTTCGTCGGCTACAGCGCTACTGCAGAAGAGGGTAGAAGTGCTCCACTTTACTATCTAGTGGAAATTTGAAGTGGTGAAGCTTGGATGGCGTCAATGAGATTATACGACTTTAATGGCCTCCGGTCGATCACTTCGCGACTTCAATAGCCTTTAGCCCTGTAAACTCACTTCTATACCCTGTTTTGTCCCTGCCCGTGGGCAAAGTCCCGAAAAGTTATTTTCGCAGGCCTGTACTTTAATACTGCTTTATCCAAGGACCTCCTACTAGCTCCTAACTTAAAGCTATTTAGAACTTTGGAAGTACCTGTACTTAAGTAAAGAATCTTAGAAGTTACTATAACTAGCGACCTTCTATATTCCTAGGGACAAGGGGGCATATCGGCCTGTAGAATATATTATAGGGGCCTTAATTCAGGCGACTTTCCAGCTCAATTGCTATAGTATTATATAGGGTGTCTGTTAAATAGCTAGCCTCTCTAATCTATAATTCGTAAGTTCTGTTATTATATCTTTCGAGGTTATTTGTACTCTGATAGGACAGAAATTTACGGTTTGCGCTTGTTATACCTACTCTGTTGCAAAAAAGCGGCGGTTTACCTAAGAGGCTATTAAAGTCGCGGAGTGATCGACCGGAGGCCATTGAAGTCGTATAATCCGTTAATGAACGTGATATGTTGAGATATTGTAGGATACTTCGGTTTAAAGAATAAGAAGTGGTTTTGTCAAAGTCATGTTATATTACGAAGTACCAAAGTAAAAAGGAGTGAAACTACGGAAGTGGAGTTTACCATTAAGCCGAAGCCTTCTTTTATATGCCGGCACTTGCGGCACTTAAATGTCCAACGCTGGTTCCCGCTTCCGAAACCTTGTCTTGGTTACCTATTTTGGGCCGTATCGAGTATTGGCAGTAACAGATACCCCAGAATTCTGCTAAAGAATGCGAGGGGTTGTATCAGTTTCTCTTGCGTATTGGTATATATAGATAGCTTTTCCACCTCTAGCCAGGTCATCCCAACCAATCCCTTCACTACAGTAATCTACACTCTTATATCATTTCCCAACCACTCCCTCAACATTACCTTTTTTCATCGCAAGCCTTCCACCAAAATGCAACTCCAACCCCTCCTTGCTCTCGCCGCGCTAGCCGCCACCGGTGTCAACGGCCAGTGGAACCAAGCCTGGTGCGACACCGACCGGATCAACAGCATAGTCGACGTCGTGGCGACGGAAAAATCGTGTAACGCTCTGACCGGCAGTACGGATGCCAGGCTTACCAAGGGGACGACATTCAAGGGCGATCCCGACGCGTTGTGCATCAGCAACGGCGGAGAGATTGACGGTCCCGCTTGGAAGGCATCTTGCACGGCGAATGGTGCGAAAGAAAGTGGTCGTGGTCAAGAATCGTAGGATGGTGGTGGTGCGAAAGAAGGTCTATGTGAACTAAGGGAGTGGGATAGTTGGACTTGGAATGCATAGGATACTTTCGTAGTTTGATAAACTTATAGAATATATTCTTCGCTTTTGGAAGATAGCCTACTAGAGCGACGAATAATACTTACGGCATCCCGAATCTACTACTAAACCAGATGACTAAATCGCAAATTGCACATCGCAAAAGTCATATATTTAATACTACTATGCTAGAGTGCCCCCACCCTCGCTCAAACTTCGTAGCCTTGAAATTTTCACGTGTATACTCGCTACCCTCACTGTCGCTCCCTCGCTGTCGCACCCTTACTGTCGCACCCCCGCTTTCGCACCCCCGCTGTCGCCTATACTTACTGTCGTATAGGGTTTGTACCCTAGTATGTTATTTAGAAGAGAGAGAGAGAGAGAGGGAGGGTGGCGGACGGGGACAGAAGTCGGGAAAAGTTTTTAGTTGTGCGTGTCGCTTATTCCCAGCCCCCGAATACTACCTTCCTAAAGATGTTAGGCTAGCATGTGTTACGCTAACAATTGTTTATTACTTGTCTGTCCTCTCTCTTCCTTACTTTCTCTTCTCTTTTTTTACAACAACCCTTTACGACTACGACAGCGACAGCGACAGCGAAAGTAATAACAAGAAGGAATAGGGGGTATTTGTTTGCCGGGAAAGGGGGGCCCGGTGGGTTACGTTGTAACAAAACCTACAAGACGACCTAGGGAGCGGGGGTCGGGAGTAGGGGTATATAGCTAGTACGTACGAGACACGTATAGGGGGGGGACAGGGGAATAGAGAGGGGGGCGTAAGAGGGCATACCCGCGGACTTGTAGTCTAGAGGACTTATAATTATACTATACGAGATATTTTAGAATAACCCGAGTTTATTATCTAGCTCTACCTACCTAGGTAATATAAAGTGACCTTTACTATTTGCGATTTACGATTTAGTTATCTGGTTTAGTAGTAGATTCGGGATGCCGTAATACTCTATCTAAGCATCCCTCCAGATCCTTTACAAATATATTATATATGTATTAAAATATGTAAATCTTTCCCAGCGTTCATTTTACCTTCCCTCTCTTTCTGTAAAAGTAATATATACCTAACCTCCCCTTTCCCTTTCCCCTTCTACTCCTCTTTTAACCTCTACCCCTCTTTCTAATTCCCCTCCACGCCCTATTCCTTCCCTACCTACCTATACCTATCTATCTCCAAACCTCCCTATTACCCCATACCCCTACTTATTACGTATTCACACCTCCTAACCATATAAATCCATAAATCTCTACTCACACAAAACTCAACTCTCAAAATACTCTTTAAATACCTCCTCAAATAGACATATCCAAAAAAGTAATATCCTTCAAAAGCATAATAAACCCGTCATTTGTCATTCACTTATTAATCACCTTACTAACCAACAAATCAATGATAAATAGAGAAAAACAGGATAAAACAATCTACCATAGTCCAAAAATCAGTAATCTTCATCTCAAACCCCAAGACTCAAGACTTAACTTTCAAGACTTAAAAGAACAAAGAAGAACAAAAGTGGCATATTATTCAAATGACAAACTCCCGCGCTCTTAAACCCAAACCATCGCATCCCATCCCATACGCAAAAAAGATGTAAAATGTAAAATGTAAAAAGTAAAATACACAAAAAAGGCCAATGATGCAATGCTCGCTCGCTCGCTCACCAAGTACAGAATACAAGAATGCAAAGGAAAAGAAAAGAAAAACAGAAAAAAGGAAACAGACGCAGACGCAGACCGTATGTACCAACCCCAACCAACCAACCAACCCAACCCATCCCACTCAAGCCACCCCAAATTATTCTATCCTAACCATCCACCATCCACCATCCCATCCAACCCATGCTATCGAAAAAAGAAAAAAAAGGGAGGGGAAACACACAATGTCGAAACCAACCCATCAACCCATCTAAATCGAACTACCCCTCGCCTCAAACCTCTCCACAGCAAACCCCTCATTATCTAATGTATCATCACGACCACCATCCTGCTTTGCCGCCGGACTCACATTCTCCTGCTCGCGCTCGCGCTCCCTCCCCTCAACCTTAGCGAAATCCAGCTCACTAGTCGTCCTCGAGATCTTCCCACCGCGCTTCTTCCTCGTCGCCTTCTCCTTTCCCTTTCCCTTCTCCTTCTCACGTTTATACCCCCCCAAACCATCTAATAGCTCCGTTCCCTCCACAGAACTATTCCCCGCCGTGCGGAGACCGCGAAACTCCTTGACAACCTCGGCGAATCCCTCTTCGAGCGTTTTCATGCGGGCGAGCATTAGTCGTCCCATCATGCCCTCAGTGTCTTCTCTTCGACTTGCGGAGCCACCGCGAGGATCTTTGAGGCCGCCGGTTGCGCGGGCCATTTGGGTTCCGAAGGAACTGGGGACCGCGCCTAGTAGTCCTTGATTGGGATTGTCCCATCCGAGATCGGACATTCCCATATCGAGAGAGGACTGTTTGTGGCGGATCTGTCGAATACGACCGCCAGCCATATCGAAATTAGGAACCGATTTAAAATCTGCTCTATTTGGCATTATTGGCCTTGCTTTTGTGTTTGCGGTTGTGTAGATTGAATGTTTAGGGGTACGATGTCCGGCGGCTACACCAGTTGGAGTATGAGTACCTGTGTTTGCATTGGATGAGCGCTTTGCAGTCAAAGGACGAGATTTTGGAGGTGAGTCCGACGATGAGGTCATATTATTGGCAACTGGGTTATAGAGTATTGTATTCGAAGACATCTGCGTGAAGTTAGTATTGCTCAAGAGTCAAGAGGATAGCTTGAGCTAAGACTGTGCTTACATTTCTATTGTGACCACGAATTCTTGGAGGCGATGACTTTGGTGTTTTGTTTGGAAGTAGCCTAGCAGAGGATAAAGAAGATCGTTGTACCATAGTATTTGGTGTCGTAAAATAATCTTCCTCTCCCTCGCCATCATCTTCGTCAGAATTCCCAGAATCGTGGCGACGACTATTACTTTTATCCAACGTAGCTCCTTCATCATCCTCATTAGTCACCAACTCGTCATCCCCATCATCATCTTCGTGTCCAACAACCTGGCTACGCAAATCCGGATGGTCATCTTCGTAATTGCGAAATGGATTTGATGACATGAAATCAGCCGGGTCGCTTGCCACTGATCTTGTACCTGATATTCCTCGCTGGCGAAGCATAGTGGCCTTTCTTGCCTGTCTTCTTGTTTCCAACCGATCAACTACTGATCTATCTTGCTCCTGTGGAGGGCTAGCAGCCTCTCCTTGGTGTTCCATCCAATTGTTGACAACCTTTTGTCTACGCTCCATACTCCTCTTTGCGTTTCGAAGCGTATCTGATCTAGGAGCCAATCTAAAAACCTCATCCAGAGCCCGGTCTTTTTGGAAACCTGCAACCGACTCCTGTCTCGTTCGTGGATTAGGACTAAACAGAGATTTGTTCTCTTGGAAAGAGATGAGTCGTTTGCGACCACGATGGTCGATGAGATCTGTGGGCTCAAATACCGAGCTTGCAAGGAACAGCTTTTCATATGCGAAAATACTGAATAGCAGGGGGAAATGGGTAATTTTAATAACAGTCCGATTAAGCTTGATGAATGATCGGAATGGTAAAATAAACCTCAATGGAGTAAAAACCCATGCAATTATATTGCTCGGTGCAACGTATGAGAATAAAGCGTCGTTCTTGACCATTGATATGGTATTGACAGCAAACACAAACTGATGCTCCTCGTTTGCATTCGAGACAATTTTCATAAACGAGTTTGTGAGGACCGTAATCAAGATCGTTACCACCAAGAAGTGACAAATAAATAGGAACAGCACAAGAATCGCTTTTCCCAGAGGATTGTAGGTAGACCAAGAATCCCATGCGGCTGGAGTGAATCCCATCAGGATCTGAAAGATTTTATAGGCGACACCAGCTGCATCATTGTGACTGTCTCCATTTGTTCTAAATGACATCGTGAAAGCGACGAAAAAGCCACTACATGCGATGAGTATCAGAACAAAAACTGCCACAAGATCAATAGCCATCAATCTAAAGGCGATAAGAAGTTGCGAGAAGTATCGATAGTGGTCGAGAACACTAAAAAGTCGGGGGAATAAGAGAATAGCAGTGGTTGCGAGAACATCGTAAGCCATTGAATTCCACTCATGCTTTCCAATATCAACGAGGAATAGTCCGTACAACCGCATAGAGTAGTACATGATGAGGAAGAGCAATATCCCAAGATCAAATGTATTCCAGAAGCTCATGATATACAAACTGAACCCCTGTTCGTTGAAGCCAACAACCTCGTCCAACATAAATCCCGCACTCCAAAACCAAAAGACAACCTCCAAAAGGGTGATGTCCATTGACCGTCGAGATAGTACTGCAACAAACAGTCCAAGCAGAATTGCAAGAGAGAAAGTTGAAAAGAATTGACGATAACGAGGTACTCGTAGACGTGAAAGCTTAAATAAAGAAGCGTCTCTTGGATCATAGAGAGTAACAGTCCTTCGCATCTGAACTGGCTGAAATTGCACATCTGATGATCTTCGACCACCCGGAGAGCTTATAGTACCGTATCTCACATTCTCTCCTGGGACTAGCAGATGATTTCTATCATTGTTCTTGTATTGTGGAGTTGGTGGTTTGGGAGGAGTTGTGCGTTTTCTATGAAGATTATCTGCCGCGGAATGAAACACGATAGTCCCTGCCCATATTGCCTCGAGCTGTTGGACCACCAATGGATGTGCTAAGAATGATTTCGCCGAGGCTCTGATAGCCACTTCAACGGTTGACGTTCGAGCGGCGGCGGGGCGTGGCTGGATTTTAGGACCTTGGTTCGGGGTCATTGGCTCCGGGATTCCCTGGAGCGGGAAGAAATCGTAGGAGAGGGCATCGATAAGTTCCCGCGTGCTGTATTCCTTCAATAACTTTATAGCCAACAACTCGCACACCAGGGCCCTCGTACGACTGACTCCCGCATTTCCAGGATTTGCCTGGGCTTCTTTTTGAAATTGTAAACAATTGGCCATGAGGGCATATAGAGTAGCGCGAGAGAAGTGTGCGGCTCGAAGTTGTTGCAGCATAGGCTTCACTAAGAATTGGGAAACTTGTGGTGATCGAAGCTGATCCCAGGTCAAGGTTGTTTCGGTCCTGGGAAGAACGATGACACGGATGGCATGCGTAAGGTTGTAGATTGGGAGCGCATCTAATTCCGAAGATATTAGCTGGTGTTCAGGATATCAAATACGCAATTCTGACTGACCTAAATGCGCCGCAGAGAATATGGGGAGTAAGGGCGTATCTTCTTCTCCATCTTCATCGTCGTCATCGTCCTCGTCGTCATCTTCGTCCTGGTCCTCGTCTTCTCCATCATGATCATGTCCGTCATCTCCCGTCAATTCATCATCTTCTGGTTCCGTCTCAGTCCAATCTGCCGTAGCATGGCGCACTTGTCTATCTCTTCGCGCAACGGTGGGAGAAGAAAGGGAAGGCTCGGGATAAGACGAGGAGAATGGCGCGTGTTCGGTGACGCGCTGTCGGGACTTCTTTGGCCGTAGCAATGAGGATAACATTGTCCTGTAGCTGCCGTTCCCCGTTCCCTGATCTCCTCCACAAACAGCCTCAGAAAACCTCCTCCTCTGCCCTTCCTGAATTCGATCGGTGGTGTTGTAGGAAACACAGCGGCAGGTAGCTTATATCCCTACACGAAACGGCGCCCGGCGTACGAGTACTGTACCAGGTACTGACTGGACTTGCTTGATTCAGAGGTCAACCGTCAACATCAGTGCGCATGAATCAAATCAACAGAACAACGCGGATCATCCTCGGCCTCTCACAAATCATCCTCCTTCCTCACCACGCGCTTGACACCCCGCGAACATGAACGAGCGAGAGGGGGAGGGGCAATGGGAATAGCCTCAATTTTGTGTCAGGTGTGCGATTCCTTATCTTTGGCATCCTCACCTGATTCATGACGACCTCCATGTTACGAGTCCCCAGCCAAACCGGGCGGTGGAGAACGAGGGCGAGGGCGCAGTGCGCACGCCGCGCACCTGGACTCACGCTGAAGTGAACAATACCTGCGTATGCGGAGTGCAGGCGAATGCATCAGCCTGCAGGTTGATCTGACCCTACCATTCGCCAATGAGATGGAATGGCATGCACGTCTTTCGCTCACCGCAAGATACATTTTCTTGGCATCTGATCGATGAACCGGGGACGATATTTCACATGCTTAAGGGTGGGTTAGGTGAGATATGTCTCGGAAACTCGGGTACATCAATCCGCGAGTTTATTGGGAACCTTTTTCAAGCGAATGTTTACTCTTTTCCATCTTCGCTTAACAAATATGGATGGTGGAAAAGACTCTACCTCTATCCTACTACTCACCCAATTTTCTTTCGAACATAGGACGAAGTATATTCGCTGTTACAGCAAGAAAAAGTAACCAGTCAGCTCACAGAGGTTGCCACGCTCACTCACTCTTACTCATCACAATCAATCGCGCAGCGAATTCTGCGGTGAGTGAACCCACGCTTCGCAAAAGATCCCAATTCCTCTCTATCCCAATTCCTCTCTACAAAACATGTCGTACATCCACACAAACTACACCGCCGCACTTGGTCTACACAACACAATCTAATCTTGAATTTGTTAGCTGCCAATGAAATATTCTAAATATACAGGTATGAAGCTTAGTACGACATAGAGGCTCAATCAGGACTTTACATCCTCAAGAACATGTACTGTTATATTAACTCAACGCTTATCGAGTAAGTACAAGTCCTCTTTTATCTACAGTACTGCATTCCAAGTCTCTTTTCTAGTATTTCATGGTTACCAGTTTAGCCGGGTAATACAGCTAGCTACTTACAGCAAACAATGTGTTATTAGTAAAAGTTTCATATTTGAATACTTCACATTTAACGTCACAACACTTATCAAGAAACAAGAAATCCACCATCTCTCCCCTTACCATCAACTAAAATATTTCTACCACCAATTACAGAATCACAGAGATATATCCAAAAAAAAACCGCACCGTCTCACATAAAAAGGAAACTATCAGATTCGACACTCGAGAATGTTTTAAAGTTTCAAATGGGCGAATTGACCTACATAAGAGATTTGAATACCATAGATACATCACTTATCCGTCAAATAGATAGTGACTTAGTCCTACCGGCCAACTTGATACATATCCCCATGAAGATCTAGCAAGGAAGAGAAACACAGAATCCCTTCCCTCCACCTCGTTCCCCTCATCACTTCCAGCAACGCTCCCCGCCTCCAAAATCCACAGCAAAGCGAAACTCCAACATCCCACCCAAAACAAAACAAAAAGAAAAGGAAAAGTCAAGTACCCCTCTACCCTCACCTCCTTCCCCCATAACCCCCTACAAATAAACTAAACCCCAACCCTCCCCCAAAAACGACGATACCAACCCTTCCCCCTCCCACCCATCCCACGAATCTCCCTTCTCTTCTCCTCTCCATCTCCCCTCTTAACCTTTTGCACCCTTGACACCTTCACACCAACCTTCTTAACCTTCCTCCACCGATGACGATAACCCTCTGCCTTTCTAGGCGAAGACGCAGGATGTTTTCGATATCCCGCGCTTTTATGGCGCATGCTGGTTTCTTGGGGATAGGGGTAGATTGTTAGGGTTGAGGGGTAGATGGTTTGGGTTTGGAAGGTGGAGGGGGAGGGGAGGTCGAGGTTGGGGGGTGGTTTGTTGTTGTTGTTGTTTTGGTTGTTGTTTGGTGGGGAGGTGGTTGGGGAGGGGGATGAAGGGTGTGAGGGCGAGGGGGAGTCTGAGTTGGGTTGGTTGGAGTTGGAGTTTATATCTTGATTCGAGTTGGAGTCGTGATTGGAGTCAGAATCAAAGTTCTGTCCCGGCCGCGGCTGAGAATCAGATCCAGGATTGGAATCTCCGTTTGGATTGGAGTTGGAGTTCTCATTTGGGTTAGAGTTGGAGTCGTGATCAGAGTTAGAATCAAAGTTCTCTCCTGGACGCGGCTGAGAATCAGATCCGGAATTGGGATCTTCATTTTGATTCTGATTCTGTTTTGGATTCTGATTTTGATTTTGGTCTTGACCCTGGCCTGGACGAGAACCCGAACCCGAACCCAGACGAGAACCACCCGAGCCATTTCTATTGAAGCCGTCGTTTCGATTATTTCCATTCCCAGTGTTGCCTTGAGATCCTTGAATGCGGGTAGTTTCGTCGTCTCCCCCGTTCCAATCATTCCATTCGTCCTCGCTAAATGCATCCGCATCGAAATCTGCATCGTCTCCACTTCCATCATTCCAATCTTCATTTCCGTCACTGGTTTGGAAGAAATCGTCTTCATCTATTCCATCATCGTTTCCTGAATTGGAGCCAGAGCCGTTGTTGCTGTTTCCTATATTGCCGTTTCCTGAGTTTCTGCCATTTCCTGACTTTGATCCAGATCCAGAGCCATTGCTAGCCCCTGAATTGCCATTAGCATCCCCATTGCCATTGCCATTCCCAGCTCCTCCACGATTTCCAGACCCAACATTGTCCGTATTACCGCCCCCAGTACCCGGCTCAGGAACTGGTTGGAAGGCAATATCAAAATCTCCAAATCCGCCATTTCCATTCCCATTGCCATCTCCATTTCCATCGCCATCTCCATTCCCATTCCCATTCCCCGCACCACCCCCTTGACCCCCGGACCCAACATTGCCAGTATTCTCATCCCCACCACCCGGTGCTGGAACAGGCTCGAAAGCAATATCAAAATCTCCAAATCCCGCATTCTCATCACCATTCCCACCATTATTATTCGAATTATCATTACCATTGTCGTTCGAATTCATATCCCCATTTCCATTTCCACTGCCAACCGTAGAAGTAGACGTAGAAGTAGAAGTAGCCCTAAAAGCCCTCGAAGAAGTCGCCTTCATTCGTGAAGAGGTAGTTGCTTTATTCCCTGAACCTCCGGAGCCTCCATTACCACCTCCCGACTGATTGGTTCCGCCATTGGAGTTTGAATTCGAGGATGATGGACTGGCACCGGCATTGGAGTTGGAGTTTCCGTTGGTGTTGTCGGGGTTAGTTCCTCCATTGCCTTCTAAATTTGTTGAATCGACGTTCATATTAGCACCTCCATTTCCATCCGTATTTCCACCGGCAGAGTTAGGATCCGAATTTGTTCCCGATCTAGATCCAGATCCATTTCCTCCATTTCTAGCAGCATCAGTAGCAGAGGACCGACGACTTGACGTCGTCTGTTTTCTGAGATGACTGCTCGTCGTGCGTGTTCCTGAGCCGTTTCCAGATCCTGATCCTGAGCCCGAGCCCAAGTTCGAGCTCGATGAATTTGGATCGGTACCTCCATTTCCATTGCTATTTCCATTTCCAATCACAGAGTTAGGATCAGAGTTTATTCCAGATCCATTGCCGCTTCCATTCCCTCCCTCATCGTTACCTTTTGAGTTTATGAAATCGATATTAGCATTGGTAGCCCCATTCCCATTTCCATTCGCAGAATCAGGATCAGAGTCGACTCCCGATCCATTACCGCTCCCATCCCCATTTCCATTTCCATTCCCAGCACCAGTAGCAGTAGCACTAGCACTAGCAGTAGCAGTAGCAGTAGCAGAAGATCTCCGACTCGACGTCGTCCGGTTCCTGATACGGGCACTTGTCGTACGTGTTCCCGAGTTGCTGGCCGAACCATTCCGACTTCCTGAACCCGCTCCAGAGTTGCTACCAGAGCCCGAGCCAGATGAATTTAGATCCGTACCTCCATTCCCATTTCCATTCCCATTCATATTCAAAGCGTCTGGATCCGTAGACGTCCCACCTCCTCCTCCATTTCCTCCATTACCAGCATTCATACCACTTGGATCATTTCCCCCATTTCCATCCGTAGAAACTCCACTCCCACCATTCCCACCATTCCCACCATTTCCTACATTTCCATCCGCACCAGTACTCGTACTACCACCACCACCAATCCCAGTCCCAGTCACACTCGCCCCCCTAACCACACCACTCGTCGTTCTCCTTCTAACCCTCGAGCTCGTCGTCGTGCCGGGTACAAAAGGCGTGATCGTAGTCGTCGGCACGATCTCAGAAGAGGACGAGGAAGGAACACTAAGTGAAGAGGAAGAAGTGGAAGAAGTGGGAGGAGATACTTGTGCTGTTACACAGGTAGCGAGGACAGCAGCAATGAGTTTGGGGGAGATATGCATATTGCTTGTTTCTTGTTGGGTGCGTGTGAGAGATTTGGGGAGGGAAAGGTTGGGGATAGGGAGGGAGAAAGAGGAAGGGAAGGGAAAATTATAGGATGTGTTCATTATGGAAAATATGGATTGGTACTAGTGAGTAGTTGAGAGACTGTTGGATTTCGAGGTATTTAGCTGGGAAATAGTTACCACCGATCTTGCTAAGCGCGTCTGGGGGCGGAGCTAGATTGGGGCTAATCTGATGACGCAAATGTATCTTTTGACTGGGCCCTCGACCACAGACTCCATCCAGGGTGAGATTGAAAGGTTCTGGTCGATACTTACTGAGTGTCCAAGATAGCAAGATTTGGGCGCTGGTTCATTTTCTTCCCCTTTCTCATATTAACAACCAAAATATCGCTTCTCAATCCATCTCTCCTCAAAATCCGCAACAATAGAACAAACCACGACTTTCACCCCCGGGAAAACCTTAGTCAGCCTATTCAACCCAAGTCTCCCCGCAAAATACGTAACAAACACGATTTTCTCCTCAGGAACACCGTGGTCCAGAAGAATCTGAACGGCCATGACCGCAGCACCACCACTTCTCATCTGAGGATCAAGGAGAAGCACACCATCATGAGTATCGATATTTTCAGGGAGTTTGAGGTAGTGCAATTCGGGCTCGCCGGTTCGAACGTTGGATTGGATTAGCACCCGCCCGGTCCGGCAATCGGGTAGGACGCGCTTGAGACCGGTTTCGAAGGCGGCGCCGGCGCGGAGGATAATAACAGCGCTTGTTTCTCCGAGGGGTGCTAGGCCTTTGTAGTGATTTCCAATTGGGGTCTCGATAATCTTTTCTTTGAAGTAGACGTTGTTCATAGCACTGAAAAAGGTTAAAATGAGACATGCTATCAGTGATTATGGAAAAGCTTACTGTTCGACAAGTAATGTGGCGACACGATCGAAGTAAAAGATAAAATCTTCAGCCGAGGTACTGACATTTTGAATGATTGTGTTCATTCCACGGGTTTGTGGTGTGTCTTTCAAGAGCTCAACTTTATTAGAGAGGGGATCGTCTTCTGAGCTTTGCCCTAATTTCTTGAGAGCTGCGCGATGACTTTGCGACTTCTGAATGAGTTTACGCTCGATGTACTGAATTACCATTGCTTCAAAAATGTTAAGTTGGGGTTTGACCGGCAGATGAATTGGCACTTACTTATCGCAACTCGATTTTCAACACCTCTAGGTACGATAATATCTAGAGTCATTAGGTATGCTCTCAAAGAAGAAAACGGGTTTACACACCTGCGACCTTTCTTTGAGGCTCAACGTATTGTTCAAAATTAGGTTTGACGAACGCAAACCATTGTTTAATACATCCTTCAATATCTCTTCCTCGCTCTGCGACATCTCGCAGGACTTTAGATTGTTAACAGATTTCCAATTGTGTGGAATCAATAGACCATACTTCTTCTTGACAAACAGGTATCTGCATCTGCCTCGCAGAATATCTAGCGTGATGGTCAGAATGAGTTGAACAGCAAAATACGCAAGGATATTCTACCTTCATATCCAGAAGCTCCAGAACTCTTTGGTCGTACAAGGCAAAAATGCCCTCTAAAATGAGCACGTGCGGCGAATAAATCGAGGTGGTTTCCTTTTCTCTAGCGTGTTTTGCAAAAGAATAAATGGGAATTTCGGCACGCCTCCTACGAAATGTTAACAAGGAAAGAGATATAATCGTAGGCTTGAAACGCACCCTGCTTTCAAGTCTCGTAATCTCTGAACCAGGACATCGAAATCTATTGCACTTGGCGAGTCAAAGTCATATTCATTTCGGAATGCCTTTCTTGAAGATTCTTCATCAAGAGTCTTGTAGAATGAGTCCTATTCACAATTTAGTGACCATATTTAAAAGACGCCTTTTGATAGAAGCGAGATTACCATAGACAGAATTACGACCCAAGGAAGATTCAATTGTGAAACAATAGCGTGAGAAAGAGTTGACTTGCCAGAGCCAGAGCTCCCTGCAATACCGATGATACAGACATCAGCCCATGGAGGTTGGTAAGGCGATGGAGGTCGGACTGTGAGTGCCTTGGACATGGCGACTTCTATTGAGGAAATTCGGACGATACTCTATGAAGTTGCTTGAAGGGCAGGGCTTTGCCAATAAATGTCAGTGCTTTGCTATTGCAATACCTTTCGCAAAAGAAACCTGAGAGAGCCGCTATGAGTGGTACCAGCTCGGCTACGAAAAAACCAGGAAAGCTAGATAAGGTGTTAAATCGGATGAGAAGGAGGAGGGGCAGGACCTCGGGATATTTACTTCGCAAGCGGAGCTCGTGCTCAAAGAAACCTGGGGATAGCAGATGAGATTGGGATGTGTGGTCAGATAGATAGGCCACCTGATTTCCTGAATGTCATCACATTTAGAGAAATCTTTCCCGCAGAGATATCTTGAATGATTAAATGTCATGGTCGTGTGCCTCCGTACGGCCACCCCCGGACTCCACTGAGGTGGATTTACTGATCAAAAGTGCAGCCAATCGAGTGGATTCACACGGAGGCTTAACGGTGTTGATGCCCTGTATCCAAGGCCGAAAACCAAAAATGCAAGGGAAACGATGGCCTAACCAGAAGTGGAAAGCTGGATGTCCACGTGACCATACGCTTAGCCTTATTTGGCTAGCTTCTCAAAATTGAGCTTGAAAACTCCACACCTCTTTTCTACGTCTTCGTCTGCGCTCAACCAGCTTTCCTCCTCTTCCACTTCTACCACACCTTTGCACCACCACTCGTCCAGGGCCATTCCGTTCTCGCGTTGGTGCAGGACACTCTCGTAGCTTGTCGGCCATTCGGCGCAGACGCTGCAAGAATGGTTAGTTAGCCTCTTCGACCGTCGCGTTGCGCCTCGTCATTTGCTCATGCTGACCCCGCGCTTAGACGTCGTCGCAGGCATCTACCACGACCCCTCTCCGCCATGCCTTCGAGCGGCGCGTAGAGGAGGTCAAACCTTTGAAAAAGTACGTTCCCGCTCGTTTGTCGACTCCCTTGACATGGTCAACCACGCTTGCGCGCTCTACATGATGAGTTTCATCAACTGGGAATCTCTCCTACAAAATTAAAGCATGCGGAGAACACATATTAGTTGTTAACTGATTGAGCGCATATGCTGGAAGGCTCGGGGGTCGCGTCGCTATCATCTTTGCCCAGATTGGAAGCTAACATTCTACCTGTCGATAGTGACATAAATGCGCTTATCCTTGACTACCTTACAACAGAAGGCTATCCCTCTGCAGCAGCCAAGTTCTCGACCGAGGCAAACCTTCAACCACAACAGGAAGCAGAATCAGTAACGGCACGGCAAGCAATTCAACACTCGATCCACCTAGGAAGCATCCAGGAGGCGATCGAGGGGTTGAATGAGTTGGAACCTCAGGTGAGCCATACAAACTTATTTCTTTACTACTCCGTTGCGATGATTAATATGTTTCATGCACCACTCATATAGCCTTCGGGTCGGTGATGAGAAAACCACGAACTTCAGTCCTCAGTATGAGCAATACTTCCCTCCAGAACTCTGTACAATCACAAACTTGTATGGTTACGTTTGCTAACTATGAGTCAAGGTTCTTGATAACAACCCATCTCTCCACTTTGCTCTTCTTCGATTACAACTCGTTGAACTCATTAGGGAATGCAATTCGAAACCAGGAGGTGATATCACTCCTGCATTGACCTTTGCTACACAGCAATTAGCTCCTCGGGCCCCAACAAACCCAGAGTTTTTAGAAGACTTGGAGAGAACTATGGCGCTTCTTGTTTTCCCGCCGGATAATCTTGAACCGCAACTGGCTGCTCTTCTCCACCCGGATCTTCGTAGGTTTGTTGCAGATAGTGTGAACAAGGCCATCCTCAGCATTCAGAATCAACGACGTGATGCTGCAATCAGGAATCTGGTTCGTCTTCGTGCATGGGCTGAGAAAACAGCGAGGGACCAGAAGAAAGACCTGCCAGCTCGGATCGAGCTCGGTCTTGATGAGAATGAAGACCGATATGAGAATGGCCATGAGCCCATGATTACTTGAATAGGGCAATTTAGAACGGCGTTTCGGTGCAACATTTAATACCAGCGTGCTATAGCTGATAATTGGGATTGGGGAATGGACTTCGGCGTTATATCTGGCCCAGGAGGGTGACATTGATTGGCGTCCAGGATAAACTGCTGTATTTGTAGAACAGTCTAGTGTATTCCCATTTTGCTTACGAATCATACTATATTCTGTGCAACATTGCTTGATGGCGAAAATGAAAAGTATTTAATACATTTGAGAGCAATGCAAAGTGAAAACTTTTAATGTTCTCAAGGAGGTTACACTAATATTTACAGGTTTCTGGTGATTCCCGAGGTCATATCAGCCGGGGTTCCGGAATTGCATTATCACTACGTCAGTATCGGTGCCCTGCAGGAGCTATCACATCCCACATCTTCAGCTCAAGTCCAGGCTTCTCGACCACATCTAAGAATACATCCTACATCCTACATCCTCATTCCCTCAACACTCATTCTTTAAACAAATTGCTTAATAATGCCGTCGAATTTGCATTCTTGATACACGGATACCTTCAAATACTATTATTTCTCCACTCAATTGGTAGTGGCAGGCAATTGGTAGCATGCTGCCTCTGAAGTGCATTGCTCGGTGCAGTCGACGCGGGCACCTCCTAAACACACATTTACGATACGGCAATAATACTAATACAGCTTCTTGGAAGCTCTCCAGTTTTGGCGGTCGTGGATTGCCAGCTTTTAGGTCATATCATTCCAAGAAATCACCATCGAATTCTCTCCCCCTGCGACAATCTCGCCCCGCGCTACGACAGTCCTTCATCCAGCAGAACATTCGAACTGTCTCTGGGAGACCCCTACCACAACGTCGATCATGGGCTCTCAACTTTGTATACCGCTCTGCCGCCGTTCTGGGGGGGTCGATCGCGGTTCTGGGCGTCGGCGTGGTGGCTTTCTTCCTTTATGATGCGTCGACGTACCGCGAGGATCTGAGTTATAAGGATATACGCGTTTCTGAGCTGGCGCTGAGTCCGAGACGGGGGGGACCGAAGAATTTGCCCATTGCGGAGGTGCAGCTCGATGACTTTGATAGCGAGGCTATGGAACGTCAGAAGGATAAGCCGAAGTTGGTGATTCTTGGTGGGGGGTGGGGGAGTGTTGCGTTGCTTAAGACGTTGAATCCGGATGAGTACCATGTTACTTTGGTTTCACCTACGAATTACTTTTTGTTTACGCCTATGTTGCCTTCTGCTACTGTTGGGACGCTCGAATTTCGATCATTGGTAGAACCTATGAGACGAATCATTCAGAGGGTAAAGGGGCATTTTATTAGAGGTAATAATCCAAGTAAAGTCGGTACAGTAACTTCAGTATCTAACAGTATTTCTAGCCTCGGCGGAGCACGTTGAGTTTTCGGAAAAGTTGGTAGAGTTATCACAGAAAGATGCAAATGGAAATGATGTACATTTCTATCTTCCATACGATAAACTTGTTATTGGAGTAGGATCGACCACCAATCCTCATGGCGTGAAGGGTTTGGACAATTGTCATTTCTTAAAAGACATCGACGATGCGCAGAAAATCCGGAATCGAATCATGACGAATCTTGAAAATGCATGCCTGCCTACAACTTCCGACGAAGAGAGACGTCGACTACTTTCATTTGTTATTAGTGGTGGTGGGCCAACAGGCGTTGAGTTTGCTGCTGAGCTTTTCGACTTACTTAATGAGGACCTCACCCAACACTTTCCAAAAATCCTAAGAAACGAGATTTCAGTCCATCTCATTCAGAGTAGAGGACATATCTTAAATACATACGACGAATCCCTATCAAAATACGCCGAAGCTCGCTTTGCTCGTGACCAAGTAGTCATTCTCACGAATTCCCGAGTCAAGGAAATCACTCCAGACAGTATTTTCTTTACTCAAAAGGGCGAGCAAGGAGAGACCATCACCAAGGAACTCCCAATGGGATTCTGTCTTTGGTCAACCGGAGTTTCCCAAACCGAATTCTGCCAAAACGTAGCAGCTGCATTAGGAACAGCCCAAACCAACAAACACGCCCTTGAAACCGACTCTCACCTTCGCCTTAACGGCGCTCCTCTAGGTGACGTCTACGCCATAGGCGACTGTTCAACCGTCCAAAATAACGTAGCCGACCATCTGGTTACCTTCCTCCGTACCCTTGCCTGGGAAAAAGGCAAGGATCCAGAAACCGTGCAAATCACTTTCTCGGAATGGCGAGAAGTCGCGCAAAAGGTACGAAAGCGCTTTCCCCAAGCAGCAGACCACCTTAAACGTCTCGACAAGCTCTTCTACGATTACGACAAAGACCAATCCGGTACCCTGGATTTCGGCGAGCTCCGCGAACTCCTCATGCAAATCGACTCCAAACTCACATCCCTCCCCGCTACCGCGCAACGCGCTCACCAACAGGGACAATATCTCGGGCACAAGTTCAACAAGATGGCCCATGCGGCGCCCGGGATGAAAGTCAACGATGTCATTCATGGGGATCTTGACGAGACTGTTTACAAGGCCTTTGAATACCATCATCTGGGTAGCTTGGCGTATATTGGGAACTCGGCAGTCTTTGATCTCGGTGGGGGGTGGAATGTTTCCGGGGGTCTTTGGGCGGTTTATGCGTGGAGGAGTGTGTATTTTGCGCAGAGTGTTAGTTTTCGCACAAGGTGTTTGTTGGCTATGGATTGGGCTAAGAGGGCGCTTTTTGGAAGGGGTGAGTTTCTAGTTCTCCTTTTTTCCTTCCTTCTTTTTTCTTACTCTTTGGGGTATTTTGAGGACAAAAACTGACGAATCCTGCGTAGATTTGATGAATTGGTAGAGAAGATTCGGAATGGGGTAAAAGTTTGAAAAGATGAGAGATTGTGGACAGACGGGTTGTAATGATGCTCTTGCTTATGCCTGGAACTCGATAGCATATACCTGTTCCCTGTTAAATACTCACCAAAGCAAGATAATCTCTCCTCGCGCTAAGGGGGCGAGTAGGTGGAAGGGTTAGGTGGTACAGTACAGTACACGTACGTGATTGGACGAGCATTAGGTAGTTCATAGAAGTGCTAGCTCGTCGCTTCGCAGGTCGTGATGGTGGGTGGGTGGGTGAGTTGTTGAACAGAGAGTTGTAGATGGATAGAATGAAACTCTTGAAATCCTTGATCATGTGTGTTAGGAATTTTTGTCCTGGACTCCTGATTTGGTGGTCCTACTCGTAGTTCTACTTGTTTTATTAGTTAAGCTTATATATTGTATACGAATACTTATCTCCTTCGTAGTACGTGACCCGCCAAGATGAATTTCCGTATTTGCCGAGCCCCTAATCTAAACGCGTCTCTTTTTATATACCTACCGAGTTAGAAGGATTCGATTTTGCGATTGGAGTTTTCATTTCTAACGTACTACTATATTATATATATTAGTATAAAAATCTCTTTGTTTATATAAGTTTCTCTCGACTTTTATAGAAGGTATATATAATACTAGAAGAATCTTTTAATACTAAATAGAATCTTTTAATCGGGCTGACTAGAAACCAGTGAACCACTTTATACGCCCCGAATTAGGAGAATGTTAAAGAAACGTTGGAAATGTACCACCGAGGAGATAAGGGTTTCGAATCCATGTTAAAGAAACGTTGGAAATGTAAAGAGACGATAGGAAATGGGTTTACTAATTAGTATCTTACTGTCGCTTTATAATAGTGAATAGTTTTGATCAAAAATATTAGGCGAGATACTACCTATCTACCAGGGAGGTATGAAGTGTATACTATTCATCTCAACTATCCATTTCGAGGGAGATAGTTCCCCTGTATCCCCGTTGCTTGACAGCCGCAGACTTAAGTTGAACCATGGTGTCATACCATGCAACCAGCCTTATCCATCTTCACTTGCCTATCCCTTGAATGGCCAAGGAAAGTCTTCTATGAATAGGGATCGAGGAATCGCTGAGCCAAAATGGGTGTATCTGAAGCGAGATGGCATGTCTGCACTTGGCTTCGCAGTTCTTGAACCCACTTCTCGTATGGTAAGGCGCAAAGTCCCGTGCCGTTGTATGGCGAAACCCCTGTTGGAATCTATGGTCTTGAATCGAGATCCCGCTTCAATACCAGACACTGATCAGCTCCTCGCTGACAGCGCTAGGTGTCAGGACACCAGACTCGGTGATGAGCGCTGAGACTAGTGCTGGTGGCTATTTCAAAGTTAGCTTTCACCCAAGAAGAATTTCCAATGTAGAATAAGTGCGAGGAAAAGAGAGAAAGGATAGAATAAGAGGGGCAAAAAGACATACCGTAAAATCCACAGCATCAACAGCAGAATTAGGTTTCACATCCCCAAAATAATCCATCCTTTCCAGAACCCTAGGCGTCGAATCCGTGAACTTCGCCTCCACATCATTATGACTCGTCTCCTCTTCATCCTCTGTCTCAAACTTGATAACCTCCTGGTCAATCCCAAGATCATATTGACCCAAGGGATACAATCTCACAAACTTATGACTCTCAGCCGCAACATAGAACGGTTTCCCAGCTGCCTTGGCTAAAAGAGCAATTTGATAAGTCCCTAATCTCGAAATGATCCCACCATTCTCGACGACGCCTTCAGCACCAACAATCACCAAGTTGACCTTGCCCATTGCGTACCCCACTGCACCTTCGGGGATGATGGCGACGGGCACGCCTTTGGCGCGAAGTGCAGAGACGACGGATTTACTTTCGTGGCTGCGGGCGTCGTTCATTACATAGATGACATTGAACCGGACATTTCCTCCGCTGGCGCTTGCTTCCGCAGCTTTACTCAATAACGCACCAACAACCCTACTTCCCCCATGTGTAAGTACTACACTTCCATCCCTCACAAAATTTCGGCCGTAATTCGCAATTCGTTCACGTCCCGCCTTTGCACGACTAACAAATAATCGGCCATTACTTAATAAATGCTGACGCACGCTATCGAAGTTCCCGGTACTGGATGGTTTGAGAGAGGAGATCATGTACCGTTGGAATAGATCCGTTCCCGCGGACAACGAGATAGAATTTGGGATCCGCGATTTGAGGTAATCGGACTGGGTTTTTACTAGATCCAGAGTTTCGAAGACGGTGACGGCGCGGGATTGGACGAGCAGTTCAATGAGGGCTTCGATTGCGGCGACGGGCATGGTGAGGTCGGGGTCTTCGCGGAGGAGACGGTGGTATGTCTGTACGATGCTGGTGGGGTGTGAGTCAGTGGACTTTCTACGACTGCGAATTGAAGAGGGGTACGTACTCGAAGGGGGCTTTTGTCCCTTGTGGGATATTTCCTACGGTTGCCATTCTTGTCAGAGCTGGAGGGTGACCGGCGAGAGGTGGTGGAGTGGTGGATCCTTCGTAGGAGGATTGGGAAGCTGTTTGTGTTTGTGTTAGTGGTGATGCGGCTGAATTTTTGGCGTTGCGCCTGCGGACACTAGGATGGGATGGCTATGTGGGGGTAGATGTTTAGGTGTGTATGGAGTGAGTTCTTACTAGTATCGTTGTCATCCATCTTGGCGGTTCGTGACTTCTCAAAGTCTAGAGATGGACGAGTATGACGATTTTTGAAGTGCAATTTTGATAGTGTAAATGGGACAAAGAGGTGTTGAGGGAGCTCCAGTCAAGTTTCCTGCTGGTCAAAAGCCTTGAATTATCCGATTGGTAGTGGAATGTAAGAACTGGGGTTGGAGGGGAGATTCGCGTAACACACACAGCGAGGATGACGCTAAGATAAGATCGATAAGACAACGGAGGCGAGCGCGGGGAAGCTGAAGTCTGGACAACGATCGGAGATAGGTGAGGGCATGTTGTCGCATTGAGGTCGCTGATTGGAACTTGAACAACACCAAGAAATATACTTCTACTTCTACACCCCTCTCACCTCACCTCTCAATCCTCTGTACAAGCAAAGAAAGAATCAAATAAAGGACCGATTACACCATCCAAGAGAAGCACTCAAAATGGAAACCATCGACCCCTCCACCGGCCGACCCCTCCCTCCCGACGCAATCCAAAGAATCCTCTTCATCGCTCCCTCAGTTCACATCTACAACATCCCCCCTCTAACCAGCACAAAAGGCTACGTAGCCGCCTCCTGGACCGAGAACAACAATGCTCGCCTGATCTTCACCGCCCGTCTGCGGGTGCTAGAAACCGCCGTACCTCTGCCCAACAACGCCGAATCAGTAAAAGCAGATATCCTCCTCGAAGACCCTTCGAATGGTCAACTCTTTGCTGCCGCACCATACACCACGCCCGATGTTGTAGAACAAGTCTTGGACTCGTCCCGCTTCTTCGCGATCAGAGTCCAAGGCGAGGGAGGGCGGAAAGCAGTCTTAGGAATTGGATACGAAGAAAGAAGTGAGGCATTTGATTTCAGTGTCGCCCTACAGGAAGTGCGAAAAACACTTAATATCGAGGATAATGGCAAGGCCGGGGGAAAGAAAGTCGTACAAGCTGAGAAACCGGTTGAGAAGAAGGATTTCAGTTTGAAGGAGGGGGAGACGATTACGGTCAGTTTTGGCGGCAAGGGAAGGAGGAATATTTCGAGCTCGGGTACGAAAGCGGAGTCTACGGGAGGTGGGCTTGGAGGCTTTTCGTTACCTCCTCCTCCTAGGGGCGCTTCGTTGTTGCCACCCCCGCCGAGTGCGCAGGAGGTCAAGGCACAGAAGAGGTTGAGCAGGGAGGCACCGACGAAACCTCTGGATGATTTTGGGTTTGATGATGGGGAGTTTGGAGAGTTCCAATGAACAAGGCGAAACTCATCATTTGCTTTCATGGAGTCTTTCCCATTACTTTTTCTGTTGTCCCCTTCTGTGGCTTGATATGAGCTTCTTTCGCCACGTTTTCTTTTTTTCACTTGGCGCTAGAAGGAAATCATGGCATCAATAAGCATGAGCGAAATTCAATATTGAAAGCTTGAATCCAGTCATGAGACATTTCTTCTATGAGGTTTCTGTGGATTGACGATGCTTGAGGATGTTGTCTTTCCAAAAAACATCAATTCTGAATATTGCCCTAAGGGAAATATCCTAACTCAGCGTCTTATGCAAATTTTAAAAAAGATCATTGGTATGAGTTCAGATTCCAGGTGTCAAAAGCTGATTCTCAATTACAACAAAATTGCTTAGGGTTGCTTCAAAGTCCTTTACATTCTCGGTTTTCGCCCCGCTTAACGGAACTTTTTCTAGACGTCGAAGAAGCTGAAATCAGAACTCCAACCCTTCTAACACATTCCCAAACATTCAAAGTTGACATCATTTTACAACAATCATAACCCCTTCCTCGCACCCGTCCACAAGGTTATATCCAAAAATGCTCCCAAATCCACCCAGCAACATGGGTTTCCATTTTGCCAAGACAAACATCAACAAAGACACACTCAATACGGCAATTCCCCATCCAGAAATAGTCAAGCACCTCTCTTTGTCTATTTTCTGAGAGGGATACTCTGCATTGCTGTTGGATCGGAACTTTCCACCGTCCAAGCTTTCCCTCTTTCTCTCGCTTACGTTACGATGAGGGTGGGGAGAACAATAAGATAGGCATCTGGAGAAAGGGAAGGAAAGGATTCCTCCATCGAGGGTAGGGTCGTATGATGGGCTTCCTTTGAGGATGGAGGGCTCTGTACATAGCCTCCATCTCGGGGAAGTACCAGGTAATAACACCTGCAAAGGAGAGTACAGAGCTCAGGGGGAATATGGAGTACAGCGACAATACCAATTTCATCCCTACACCAACACCTCATCATCATTTCTCGCACGAGCCGACCGCCAGTCAGATTGCTCAATCAATGGCGGCTGGCGGCATTCTAGCCCCTTCTGGAGCTACTTATTTGCCATATAATACGACGATGTCGACATTTGGATTCCCCACGTCAATTCAACAGTTCTCCCCCTCGCTAAACTCTCAATCTCAGACGACCACTCCAACACCAGAATCCCCATATCCATATCCATATTATTATTCACATTTACACTCGCCCTCCGACCTCCCTCTCAGTACCCCTCCCGAACTCCCCATCTCTAACACAACCACAACCACCCCCCTCACCACCCTCCACACCCAAAGAACCTACCTCCTCTCCACCCTCGCGCACGAAAACCACCACGCAACCACCCTCCTCACCTCCCTCGCACCCCTCACCACCCTTCCCCCTCCTTACTCCCGCCGCACCCGCAAACGCCTCACCCACTTCTGTCACCGCCTCAACGAGACGACGAAGCAGGAAACTGCGATTCTCTCGCGCGTGAACCAGCTGACGGCGAAGATTAATCGGAGGGAGTATGTGGATGCTCTGCAGAGGGAGAGGAGGTCCGAGGAGATGCTGAGGGAGAACGCGAGGAGGGCGGTGGAGTGGTTGCCGTTGGATAAGGGGTGGACGCCGGTTGTGGAACGAGGTGTGAGTTTGGGGTTAGATGGGATTGAGGAGGGGATGATGGAGATGGGGGAGTTGAGGATCACGACTCCGTTGCCGTTGGATCCTACGAGTCCGAGTTTTCGACCTGGGATAAGGGGGTGGGGACAAGGAGGCTTTCCCTTCCCGGTACTTGTTGTGTCGGAGGACTCGTTCTATGGGGGGATGGGGGATGAAAAGGCTGGGAATGGGGAATGGGATGGGAATGCGTGACAGCTTTAGCTTTGCGCCGTCTACGAGTGGCTTTGATAGTCAGGATGCGTATGATGAAGGTCCTCCATCGCCGACGACGAAGACTCTCACTCCTACACTAACGCGTCTCCCCACCCCAGACTGAAACATAAATCAAAACATAAATCAAAAGGAAAATGAAAATGAAATACAGAAACACCCACGACCACCCCTCCCCCACCGCTTCTCATCCCTCGACTCGGACGTTCTAAAAAAACGTCAGATGGGCTTCTCTGGCACTGGCACTGGAACAGGAACAGGGACAGGCACGAACACACCCAGGTTCTCCACGAGACAGAATAGTTTACCGACTATCCCTGGGGTGTCTGGGATTTGGGGGATGAGTGGGTGAGAAGGACTCAAGGAGAATGTGGAATAGAGTGGAAGGGAGAGGAGAGTTGAGTTGGGTTTTTGGAGGTGGAGGAGAGTTGGTTGGATGTTGAAGGAGTAGTTTATAGTAGGTTAGGAGTATGAGGGTAGTTTTAGGGAAGAGGAAGGAAGAGAGGAAAGATGAAAGAAGAAAGAAGAAAGCTTGGGGGAGCTTGGATGTTTGGATGTTAGGATGTATATATGGGGTATAGGTAGTGGTAGGGAAGAAATAGTAATCTTATTATAGTTCTTACTTAACGTGCATGTATAGCGAACCGGCCAAACAAGCGAACCGGCCAAAATTTTCTACACTCGCGATTGAAATTGTAAGAACTCTACCACAACGCCTCTAATTAAAAAACACTATTCAAAAATTTCTTCCTCAGATACTTCCTCTATAATATTACAGGTGCGCGTATTATGACCAGTCTCTCCGCAGTTACCACAGCGCCGTGCACGTGATTCTTCCCTCGGCTTCCAACCACTACTTCTCTTTATTTTCTGCATTACCTGCTCACCAACGTCTCTATCATCCTGTAGGTCCTGCGCTTCCTGTTGACTAAGTGATCCTCCTTGCTGTAGGCGTGTTTTTTTAGCTCTACGGCGCTTACTTAGTACTTCATTTGCTTGTCGAAGTCTCTGGTTCTCAGCTTTCAATAGTACTATCTGGTGCATTACTTTTGATGCACCCTTCGTAAACTGGTCAATGGCCTCGTAAATAGGGGTTGGAGAGCTACTTTGGTGGCGTAAAATTCGATCTTTAATAAATGCAGTCTGTGATAAGGCTTCAGTAGGGTTATTTGGTGTCTGGGAAACCCAAGGCTGAGCGGAATACGGGGGGGAGTTTGGAGGCGTTGGCGTCTTTAGCTTAAGATCAAGTGTAGAAATTACACTTTCTGGGTCAAATGGAAGAAGCCCAGCCCCTCGGAACCCTCCTCGGATATTGCTTTCTGTCATTGCAATATTAAATGCGGCGTGGAAGGCAGGAAAGAAATCATCCTTAGTAATATGGATGATCGGAGCCCGCATCATATCTTCAATTTGCTGACCATATGCCCTTTTCAAAGGGCTAAAACAGCCAACGTCGAGTGGCTGGAGTATATGAGAAGAATGAGCAGGCATACAAAGAGTGATAATGTTGTTTTCCTTGCAATATTCCTCAAATTCGTCGGAGTGGTGGCTTTCATGGCCGTCGAGGACTAATAGACGATAACCACCAATAGATTGGGACTTTGTATGCTTCTCAAAATGTCGAATCCAATCCATGCCTTTCTCATTTGTTGTCCAACCATTTTCAGTAATAGCAATCACCCAGTTAGGTGGAAATCCACTGTTTTGGTACCAAGAAGCGAGGTGATTTTTTGCGGCAACAATCACAAACGGTGGAACACACCAGCCTTGGGCATTAACCCCCTGGATTACTGTAACCCATTCCCGATTACCAGGCTGTACTCTTTTTGCTTTTACACGTCCTTCTGAGCTTGTAATAACCATTGCAGTTGAGATAACGCCCATCATAAACCCAGTCTCGTCAAAGTTGTAGATATCTGCATCGTAGATTCCGTACTTCGCTATTGTGTTTCGTACAAGCTCAAACCAGCCTCATTCGCTCAAACCAGCCACGAATGACTTCTGGATCTTCGCACTTAGCTCTCGGATAGTCGTATTTTCGTTGGAAGCGTGTCTGGAGTTCTGGGCGGCGCTTAGCAAAGTTATAAGCCCAACGCGTCCCTACGCGTGGCGCGTCGCGTGCTTCAAGAAGTCAATTTGCTATATCTTCAACTACAGATATCCGCGGAGGAAATTCTTTTGTAGCTAGGTCGAGGATATGTTGAACAAGTACTGATTCCTCTAGCTCGGTCATTTTCCGTGAATTGGCTAAAATATCGCGTCGTGAAGGTATACCAAGCAAACGTCGACCTAGCTTCCGGTGGTCTACAGAATAGGTCCTGGCAGTAGCTCGAGCACGTAAATTTGGGTCTTTTTGCATAGCTTGGATACCTAAGACTAACCGGCTTTCGTCATTTTTCAGAGGCATCCTTCGTTGTAGAGAAACTTAATATTTCGTGGAGGTGTGGTGGGGTCGCCGGGTTTTGGCCGGTTCGCTTGTTTGGCCGGTTCGCTATACATGCACGTTAATTCATATAATATATTATACTTTTGAAATTATATAAACTCTATTTTCTATCTAAGATTCTAGGTAAACTCCTTTACTCCCTAAACTATATGTTAAAACCTAAGGGTCTTCCTCTCTAGGTATTATAATATAGTCTTAGCTAGCCGAGACTCTTATCTTTACTACCTAACCCCTATCTCGGTTACCTATATAAATACCTAGTATTCTAGTAGCTTCTACTCGGTTAGTACTATCTTATAAAAACTCCCTACTCCCTTAGCTAGTTCTTTACTCCTTAATCCGCTTTTTATAGTTTATTCTAATAGTCTTTTATTTTATCTCTAATATAGTATACTAGGAGAAATAAGATAGTATTCTTTACTCCTTAATATCTACTAATTTACTAATCTACTACGATCCCTATCAAAAGGTACTACCTACGATTAGCGTAAAAATTAAATAGAATAGATTAACTAATAGGGTCTTAATCTTAGTTATTCTAATTAACTCGACCTCCTAATCAGGGTTAATCGCTTAATTAACTATATAATCTAATTAATTCGATTAATTCGGGCCGAAGTCTCGGACCGACGGACCGACGGACCGATTTCGTCGGATTAAAGTACCACGTGACCATGATCGCTTCAGTTGCCTGAGTCGCCTGTCGACTGAAGCGATCATGGTCACGTGGTACTTTAATCCGACGAAATCCATGGATCGCTTAGCTAGCCTAAGGATCCCCTTCTGCTATAAGAGTTATGATAATGCTCGACCTGTCAGGGCGCCGCCTGGTCTTCACTATCTCCCGTGGTAACACGTGATTCGTGACACTATCCCCTTCTTAGCCTAGCGTGTCCCTACGCTTAAGTACAACCTAAGAAATATCATCAGAAGGCCAGCGACCTTCCCTTCTTCATTATGTCGGTAACAACACCATCTGCAAAAGACAAACTAAAACAGAATCGTATCCTCAACGCCCTACGTATCGAACGATCAGGATCTGAAATGGCTCCTTGTACTCGTTGTCTTACGTCCACATCTGGCCGTCGGTGTGTATCGATTGCAGGAGGCAAGAAATGTTCGGAGTGTACTAGAAAAGGTAAAACTTGTGATGTTGAAGAGCAAAACCGAATGCCTTCAACTTTTGAGTGGGAGTCTCTTGACGCACAGAAACGTCGTTTGCGGGATGAGGAGGAACAGGCCTATCAGGTCCAGGAAAGGGCTTTTAGGGCTCAGCAGGAGGCGATGTCGAAAGTTCTCCGGCTCCGGGCCCAGCAGCGTCTCCTTGATGAGCGAGAACAACAAATGCTCCGTCGCGGCCTTTCTAATCTTCAAGAACTAGACGAGGCCGAAGAGAAGGAGGAAGAAGAGAAAAAGGAGAAGGAGAGAGGGGAAGAGGCCGCTCGTCCGGCCGCCCTTCCCACCCCTACCGCCTCCGACCCTGCATTCGACCTAGGTCTCGACCCTGCCTTCCTCGAGGCTTTCCCCCCTGGTCACTCAATGTGGGCAACCCTGGATTTCGGTGATGGAACTCCTGAAGTTCCTCCGAGTACTGGTTGATGTTCGTTATAGGTTCCCAGGTGTTTTCCGAGTGTGGGTAATCCAACCATTTGATTAAATACTTAATCTTGCCCCTAACGAACTTGCAGTCAAGAATCTTCTCGACCTCGTACGTGGCATTTGGGTTGACTGGTTGAATCTCTGTGTGTGGGGCTGGTGGTGCTCCCGGTGGTGCTGGTTCGAGTAAGGATATATGGAATACTGGGAA